CTCTTAGATGCCAAAGGCCAGAGTAAAAAGATGAGTCTTAAAAACCTTTAAAGAAGCTGCTCTTGGATTAAACAAGGGGAGGCTGTTCCAGAGTTTAGGAGCAGCTACAGAGAAGGCCCGGTCACTCGTTTTCAGCTGTGATTTCGGTACGTTAAGCTGAAGCTGACCACTGGACCTCATCTGTCTGGAGGGAGTGTAAGGAGACAGCAACTCGGACAGGAAGGCTGGGGCCAGACCATAAAGACATTAAAAACCAGAAACAGCATTTTAAAGTCGATATGATAGCTGACAGAGAGCTGTGCAGAGACGACAGAACAGGTGTGATCGGGCAGCACCATAGACTGTAAATATTAACGGACGTAGTCACGTCTATCTCCACCGTTCAAAGAAATTGACCAAAAATTGGGCTTCCATTGAGCGTTTCAAAATGGCCGATGGGGCTGGAAAATGTGAAAAAAAAATGCATCTGCGCATGCCCCATTCATTTAACGAGTGCCTTCAAAAATTCACAGCAGCTAAACTAGACTGGTCCAAAAAAATTCACCCCCCTCAGTATTGACACACATGTGGAACGGAGCTTTGGGTCAAGAGCCAACTTTTGGACCATCCTGTGAAGACGTTTTCGAGAGGTCAGAGGATACGTACATTAGCATTGAATAATTCTTATTCCGGGTCCACCCCCATCGGCCCCGGGTGGTATTGCAAGCATGTCAGCGCACGTGGTGAGTGAATAACAAACATTTGTGAAGCATTTTGAGAAGGTTGAAAAGTCTTAACCTGGCAAGAGCCAGATTGATGATTGTGTAGAACTCTAACGCGTTCTCCACAATATCAATCTGGGACTTCTGCAGGAGAATCCTTTCGGGGAAAGGAGGGATAAGCAGCAGAATACTTCAAGCTGATTGGGCGAAGTGACGCTGTGTGCCCGCCTACCAAGGTTGCCGTCCAGAAATGCACAAAGCGCCTCTCGCTGTTCATCTTTCAAAAAAGAAATTGGAGATTCTGCTAAAACTGACTTGATAGCCTCAGCTACGCGTCCGTCCTCCTGCGTAGCCATGTTTGTTTTGCTTCGGCCCGGCACTTCTTGCTTTCGTCAAACCCGGATATCCCGCCCTAAACCCCCAGACTGGCGCGTGATTGGCTCGCACACCCAGTGGTTCGACTCGAAAAGTGTAAGCGGGAGCGGTACAAGATGTATTCTCGAGTGTTTGTGAACTCACAAATACCGCGAGAATTCAGCTTGCAGGCAAGGTTAGAAAAGTCTATGAAGCGCCCAAACTTTTCAACCTTTTCAGAAAGCATGAGTATAATTGTTACAACTTCTGCTGCCACCACAATGACAAAGGGAACATTGCAGCCTTTTAAAAATGGTTTTCCTGAGCAGGCCGAGCATCAACCTCTAGAGGTGGGTCCCTGAGCGCTGCACTGTAGACCACTGCTCCTGGTAGAGGCCCTGGTGTTTGCAATAGTCAAGCACCAACACATATAATATATCATGTTTACGACTACAATGATTTTTGCTTGTTCTTTGAACATTTCCTAATTATTACTGAATGCGATCTTGCCCTAAAGATGAAACAGAACCCATCTCCACCAGTAATATATTCTTGTAGCTACAGTATATGTTTAGTTATACAAACAACTCTAGAAGTACTGTTCAAACAGTTATTCAGAAATGAGAAGAGTGTGGCACTCAAAATTCAACAACCGTCCACCACAAAATGGTTTTTTGTCTTTGAGAAAATGGTGGTTCTTCCGAGAATCATAAATAAACGACTGGTGTATGGGCACAATGTCATTTTAACTTCATTTTCAGTTTCAGTACACTTCCATTAAAGACAATCTTGAGTGGATTACTGTATTCATATTCACGTACTCTATTGTGTGTATTAGGGCACTCGAGCACATGCTTCTTCTCTTTCCTGTGGGAGTCAGATGAAGAGAAATCCCTCTCCGACACTGCATTGATCACAGACACTGGGACCACCAATCCTCCTCCAACCACAGCCTATTTCCACCGAGCTATGCACAAAGGAAACTTAACTGCATCATACTGCTTTTGTTTAACATTTCCGAAACTCTAATATACAGACTGCAGTGACCTTAATCAAGACAAGCTTGAAAAAGATGGTCTGGTAGTGATGGTCTTTAAAGGCATTCGAACTGATGGAGGTAAACAATCTCTGTGTTGAAATATGTAGAATTAATATAATTACTCAAACAGGGACTTGCAAAAGATAGGTTTTTATTATCACAGGCTGTTAGGTCCAAGTGGCACCACCACAAATCACCAGTGGGTAATGTAATCACCAGGGTTTGTGTCAAACGTTAGTTTGCAACATAATGAAACAAATTGTGGACAAATGTAAACAGAACTTTCAGGAAAGCTCACAACTGGGAGAACAAAATCACAATTTGAAGGTGACCCAGATCACCGTCTGGTTCCAGGACTCTTTTGTTTATGGAATTGAACTGCACCTCTTGGTAGTTTAGAATGGAAAAGGTCAGAAATGTAACAACCCGGTAAATATCTGTGGAATTACAGCGTCATCAAATAAATATGTTTTATATTTGAGCTGACTTTTTATGCTGTTATTTGTGTTTTAGAAATGTGAAAAGTTGATTGCAGCACTTTTATTTTCATTTAAAGTATAGTAAAATACATAATTTTTAGTATAACAGGTTGGACACAGGAGAATTTAGAAAGAAGGGGCAGATATTAGTGTGGACAGCTCAACAAACAACTTTTTTTTAAATGAGAAACATGTTGAAAAATTGTTAAAACCAAAACAAGTATCTTTAAGCAGAAGAAAAGTGATAGGATTTTCTTTTCATATTCAGCAATAACAAGAAATCACAAAATAAAGAAAACATCATGGTTTTATTAATCACAATATCAACAGTCCTCCTTTTGTTCAACTCATCAGCGAGCAACACCACCTTCACTCCATAAATAAAAATAAATATCAAAATTACACTCACCCAAATTACAGTAGCAAATTAGTCAAGTTACAACAACAACAAAATCTGTAGTGAAAACAAAAACATGTGCAAAGAGGAGCGAGGACGGTTAAATAATTCGACAAACTGTTATGGCACATTCACATCATTATTTAACAAATAAGACAAAAACATGAGGAATGAGACTGATAAAAAAGGAGAAATATGTGCTGCAGTACTTCATTACCTTCGTCCCTTTAAAAGTCTCCATTCTGCAAAAAGGACTTCCAAGAGCCATGTTGACATAATTGTTGTCCCTGTTTTCTCCTTAGATGATATGATTGACACTAGGGTGAGGTTAGAGTTTTGATTCATTTTCTACTTCTATTCAAACCAGTATGCATTTCTCTTTTCTTTCTTTCTAGGCTGAGGTGCAATTTCAGTGAGAAATGAGTGGGCATTGGTCAGTGCAGATATTTTGAGCTATGGCTTATAGTTTATACTGATTCACGTAGTTGGACCACTGTCCAGAATCGCAAATAACTTGTCCTCCATTGTGGTCAACGTGCTCCTAAAATACAGCATTTTGACTATTCCGAGCTGAAGTGGATACAGATTTAACCAAAGAATGTGTCGGTATATTCTGACCACCGCCTTGTTACGTAAAGAGCAAACCTGTGGAGCACATTTTAGATATGGGAACAGAATGAGTCAAGTCTAGAGAGAACTTTTAGCGAGATGACTCAAAATGTTTTCCAGTGTTTTCCTTCAATTAACCAGTAGGTGGGCGAAATGACAGAAAAGAATAGGATTTTGTAACCAGTTAAACGTCCCTCAGTACAGAGATGTGTTTCAAAATGTAATAAAACATATTCAGATACAACATTAGTCATTGATCATTTAACACAAACTTAATAAAGTCTAATATTCTGTTGATTTTTCACTTACAGCTGATTAAAAATGGCATTAAATATGAGCTGTGAGTTTGCGTCAACATCGTGTTGGCTATACTGACCATTTCAACTATTTTATACTAACAGTAAAGAGTATTTAGGGAAAGGTTTACTTCGGACCACTTTAAAACTGTATGAGTATTATACCAATCCCGCGTTCCCTTGGCCGCACATAAACGTGGAGCTGGTTTAGCCGCTAACAACGGTTCTTAGTGATCTCAGCAAAAATGGAAGCTGCTCATGAGGTAGCAGAGAATATGTGATATATGTATTTTTTTCCAATGGCGGAACCTCCGGATTTTTTAAAACAAATATATTTATTCCAGGTTTAAACATTTTAAGCGTTTCCAGCAAGAAAAGAAAATCAAGTTAGACTTCTGACTGAGCAAGATGCACGCAAATGTGTTAAATTAACCAAATTGGGGATGACATAATGTGTTCGGTATGAGGTAATTAAAACAACTGCTTCCACTGACAGTTCTTACTTTCATGTGATTGGTTAACTGCACCTCCCACTCCCAAAAAAAATAATAATAATTATAATTATAAATGTACTGGTTTATGACTTGATTTGAAGTTTCCTTCTTGCACTGCAATTTTTAAACCTGGTACACATTTTTTCCATTTAAATCCTCAATTTTTCCCAACAATATACAGTCTCATTAGTCATTTACAAAACAATCTTTAAAAAAAGCTAGTCTATTTGTTCTTGATATTGCAGTTGGCACCTTGGTTCTATCACTATTAAAGGGCATCTCTGTAGTGTGAGAGTTAGGATTCTGAAATGTGTTTTCTAAATATTCTATTGTTTCCCTTTTGAATATATTCAGACTCAATGGTCAAGTTTAAATAGATAAAGTTCAAATAAAAATAATTGAAATGTACGGATCACACATCTGTATGTTTTGATGTTAGAACAAAGCTCAATTCAAGTAGATTGGACATAATATGTTTCTGGACAAACAGTAGTAGTAGTGGTAGTAGTAGCAGTAGTAGCAGTAGTAGTAGTAGTAGTAGCAGTAGTAGCAGTAGTAGCAGTAGTAGCAGTAGTAGTAGAAGTAGTAGTAGTACCTATGGAGATGAGATGTTGTTTTCAGCTCATAAATACTAGACAAACTGTTGAGGGATGAGAGTGCAGTGCTGATCTGAGCTCTGATTGGTCGTCTGCAATGGCAAATTACAGCATTTTAAGTCTCATTATGTCTCATATTAATATTTAGAAAAATTAATAAAAAAAACAAACAGATTATGTTAATTCGTCTAAAAGTCGTTTCACTACTTGCGTCAGTGGACAAATTACATTTTCCGTCCAAGCAAGTTCTATGAAGATGTAGTGTATTAGTAATGGGAGCATACATAGGCAAGTTTGAAGCAGGGTTAAAGGTTCTCCTAAGTACTTTGTGATGTAGATGGGTAGTAGTACTAGTAGCAGTAGTAGTAGTAGTAATCGTAGCAGTTGTTATGAGGTGAGCTTGGAGTAGCATGTGAGGAGAGAAGGGTCTCCGAAGATCCTTGAGGATGAAGATACATAGTCGTAGTAGGTCTGTCAGTCGGCTCTCAAAGTACTTCATTTAGATGGGCAGCAGTAGTAGTAACAGTAGTAGTAGTAGTAGTAGTAGTAGTAGTAGCAGTAGTAGTAGCAGTAGTAGTAGCAGTAGTGCAGTTGTTATGAGGTGAGCTTGGAGTAGCTGGGAGGAGAGAAGCGTCTCCGTAGATACTTGAGGATGTACAGAGGTAAACAGCTGACCAGAGTGATCACAGTCACCTTCCACAAGAACGACACTGTGGTGATGAAGTACACGTCTGCAAGCACACAAAGATACCTCAGTATTTATGATTTTGAAATAATAAACACAGTAAACAACAAAGAAACAAGAGATGATAGAGTAAAGACATCCAACATGGGTTAAACTTAGACTGCCGATGAGACGTGATAGAAAGCAAAGACCATTTTTTTTATATTTGATTCAAACAGTTAATTAATCATGAGCTTTTACAACATATCTGCCCTGAGACTAAACTACTTGGGAAGGTAAATACAATCTGGTTATCAGGATCTGGGACAATACATGAAAAGTGTTAAAATATTTATACATACATTGAAATTGTCTTTTTTCCATTCTCCAATAAACCAAATACATGACAGGACTAAATGCATGTAAGATGGAACAATAAGTGCCTTGCCTAAGGACACAATGGATCAGACATTGTTCTTAAAAAAACAAAGGGACATTACATAGCATGACATTTACCATAGTTTCCCTCTGTTTACACTTGCTTGTTTTTGCAAATTCCCACCGCCTTTTACAAGCATCTTAAACTCAATCTTCTGCTAATCCTTTTTATAGAACACCAAAACTCAAAATAAACCTCACAACTTTTTTTCAAATCGGTTGAAACGTCTGAAGAAATGCCCTTAAATCTATTCTTGTGCTACATCCAGGGGGAAAAGTGTTGGGGAGGCTTCCACTTGACCACATGCCAGTCACACTCCACACCCAACATAAAGCTCTAAACACAGGCGGGAGGCTCCGGGCCACTGGGCTTTTCTGTGGCACTGAGCTGAGTGTGGCCAGAGCCATTTCATACACTACAGGCCATAAAGACCAAATATGGCAACACTTACATTATTGAATTAATACATACCAAGTGTTTCTAGAAAAAAAAATCTCATATAAAACTGAAGTGAAGCTGCTCGAGAACGTTCCGAAAAGTTTATAGCGTATTTCAAGATGATCCTTTGTCTGTTTTATGTAATAGCATCAAATATAAATGACATCACGCCTCATAACAGCAGCACATGTGTAAAAAGGAACATGCCTGGCCAGTGTAACCAAAAGTCGCCCTTACGTAACTAACTTTAGTAAGTAAGGGTAGCTCACACTTGGATTACAGTGTCTACTGCATCTTGTTTAGGAGTATCATTAGATTAAGTGGTTTATTTGCCCTCCACGTTTACAGTTTAGCATTGCTAATATTCTTCTCCCTTGGTCTCTGACAGTCATTCTGGGCAGTTCAGTAGCTCTAAACAGTTGTGTTCTAATCCCAGTGTTTGAAGGAGATGTCACTCATGCTACTGAGAGAAATGAGACATTCACGCAGCGTGATTTCCCATTGAGATGAAGGAAAACACGTGGAGCATGTCTAAGCCGGAAACCCTTAAAGTCACATGAACATCCACATTGGGTGACCCACTATAGAGCTATTGTAAGCCACTGTTTTGAATATTAAAATCAGCAGATACAATTATTAAATCATAAAGAGCCCTAACAAATAATAATATACAGTAAATTGATTGTATCCCTCTGAACATCTACTAACAAATTGAATTAAAATCAAAAATGCAAAACAATATACATTTTTCAAACTTTCTACTTTTGCCTTTTTCAATTCAGTCATTCTTCCATTTTGAAAACAGGAATGATTTTTGGTGCAAACAGACCTATAAAGTGTCATCAGGAAGAAGACCGGACACTTGCCGTTTCCTCTTTGATTTCACGGTTCATCCAAACCAGGACAGTGTGTCACTTTATCCTTCCTCAAGTTCTTTCATTTCACTCCAGGGAGCGCAGGAGACCCCACACTGTGATAAAGTGACGCAATATGCCAAGGACAAAATCAAAACAATACTTTTTATCACCGAGACTATTATTATCACTGCATTTTGATTCTCTATTTTGATCCATGTAATCTTGTAAATTACAGTTTTATGTGAGTTTTATAATTTCATTATCAAGACAAACATAGGATATATTTATATTGTGTATAGATTATAAGTATAGATTTTATTTCTACTGCTTTATGCCTAGCGGTCAACGCCTTTGCCTTTGGTGTGGGTAAGGACCCACACGTAACCAAGAAAGTGCTGGAACAACTAGTTCATGTCCGTGACCTCATGTGTTGACCCACCTATGAACTCATGCAGAAAGACGAGGGAGGCGATGTAACAGGCCAGACTCAGCAGCTCGGCCACGATCATGAACCAGTGCCAGGTCTGGATGGTCAGAGCCACCATGAGGAGCTCTGTGAGGATGAGGGACGTGAAGGAGATGGCCACGACGTGCACAAACTCCGAGTCAAAGAGCAGGAGAGCGCCGTACATCAACATACTGCCTGCAGCAGACAAGGGACAAGAAGGCCTTGAAAATAAAACTCCTCACACACTTCATACACATTTTCTAACCACCTGAACTCAATGCTGCAGTGCGATTGCGGTGATGTCAAACCTGTTCAGTGTAGGTTTGAACGCTGCCGTGCGGACACCAGTGTTTCCCACACACAGAGGGGCCGTGTGTGTGTGAGCAGTGAGAGAGACACGCATGTCTATCTGTCACCCGCGCGTCTCTCTCACTGAGAGCAGGGGGAAAAAGACATGCAGCGGAACGAATACGCTGCATGTTTTAAATATTTAAATAATAGAGAAAAAAAACATAGGCAAATCTGGGGCGCAGCGCCACAGATTGCGTTTTTTTTTTTTTCTAAAGACGCGCAGGTGACAGAGAGACACGCATGTCTCTCTGTCACCTGCTTGTCTCTCTCACTGCTCACACACACACGGCCCCTCCCCTCCCTGCACACCGCGTCTGTCTCCATGAAAATGTGCAGAGAAGACCCCTAGCAAACACGCGATTTCGCCTTTCTTAGAAAGTTAATTAGAGTCGCAAGTTTGGGGTAAAATGTCGTTGGGTTGTCAGCAATGTTCCCTAAGCTGCGCGCGTGCGCAAAGCGCCCGACACAGAAGTCTGAAGCTGCGTTTGATAAAGAACACGGCTTGGACCAACAGCACCCTGCACACCGTGAACTCGCGCACTCGGTCCTGCTGCGGACTTGCGACTGGTGTCTCACGAGCACTACACCAGTTGCAATGTGTGCGAGGAGCCACAAACACACCTCACGCGCACGCACTTATGTAGGAAGACCAGGTCTGGTCAGACCAGCGTCCCCTTCAGTTTAGCACAAAGTTTCCTATTGCTGAGTAAAGTTGGTTTTGTGGCAATATGACAATTATTATCTTAGATAATTATTGGTCCATGTGTTTTATTTTATAATGCATATGACTAAATAAAACCATGTATACTATGTATAAATCTATTTAGTCTATATCAAATATGAATAGACAAAATCCACTTTGAATATTTTGTGTTTTTAGTGAAATTCAACAAATATATTCCGCAATCTACTTTAATTTACCATCTATAAAATACTTATTTGAATAATGATCAAGTGAATATTGAACCAAATCATAGTTGGTTGAAGCTGGAGTATCTATAAATGAGATCAGTAGGTGTATACAGGAGGTGTATCCAAATGTGAATGGTTTTCAACAGAGATCTCTCGCTCAAAGTGTTCTACGTGCCACTCAGGGGGTTGTGTTTTTGCCCTGACCCATGAAAAATTAGAGGGAACATTGGTTGTCAGGTCAAAACACTATATGTAGCAGCTTTGAATCAAATAAACGTATTGTAGATAATGTTATGTCGTTTTTTACAGTACACTGAATGTTTGCTGCTTCAATCCCTTCTTGGTCGGCGTCAACTCTCTCTGCAACATGTAGCAGACCTCATGCTGAGGCTCAGAACCTCCAGGGTCCTCTCTCTTTTTAGACATCTCTCCCTGGGGTATGAAATTTTCAGTTATGTCTGTATGTATCTTGTAAATATTCAGTGTCAGTGTCAGTAAATGTCTTCTTTTATATCTGCTGGTTTGGGCCTAGTATGTTCACCAACAATTACATTTTCATGATAACGGTATCTCTGTAGGAAAATTACTCCAATAAAGGTTTCCCATTGAGGCTTGGAAACCTGTGTGGAGAGTTGCTGTGAACTGAAATGTCTAACTTGTGGATTAGCCTGAAGATAACATGTTTTTAGGTTATTTAAAAATGCGTAATTCCCTTTTCCACCGCAGACTAAAAATACCGCTGTGCCTTGTATCGGCCTGTTTTCAATCACTCCAACAATACAATATATGGGAGAGGAAAACCCTTGACGAAGGCTGTGTCAATAAACAGAGCACATGTGCGGACCAGGCCCTGCTTTGCCAAATGCGTAGTAACTTTTGATCCCCAATTAAAAACTCCATCTATTCATTCATGTTGGGACAGAAATAGATAAAAGGTTTCGGGGTGCGGTGAGGATTCCCTGGTGGATGCATTCAGAGTAAACGCAGCGTGTCGGAAAAGCCCGGCTGTAAATAAACCAGAGAAAGTGCGTGGGACGGTGGAGATTAATTGGTCACAAAGAACTTTCCTTCGCGTACTATCAACGGACTTACCTTGGTAGATACTGATTATAACCCATATTAGAAATGTCTTGTAGGACAACGGTCGACCCTATAACAAAACACATTGCACAACATGTTGGGTTATATAATGCAAAACATTTGATAGATTATATTGTATTTAACAATAGATTCACATAGTTTTCCAATGTTTGTGAGATAATACATTCTTTTACTTATGAAAAAGACTTGAAGCAGGAGTACAAAACTTATTTTCTTTTGCATACATTTAAAAAAAACATTGTCCCAACAGAAAGTATTATTGCTGAATGAGTTTGAAGAAGTGGCCTCATCTTATTAGAAACCATTACTAATAGCCCTGTGAGGCACAATGAGAGCCGATTTTCACAGAAACAAACCGTTTTATTACACAGCTCAATGTATTGAAGAATGTATTGTGAGTGCATTTTGCTGAAACACTTATATTTGTGAATGAATCACATCAAATAGTTCTGTAATTGATTGTAATTGTTGTTCCTGATGTTATTTTTTTGGTTGTATAAGTGACTCGATGATTCAATAGATGTTTTGGTACCTTTAGCAAATCTTTGTATAACTCTGGATACAACATGGCGACTTCAGACTTCACATCTTTATCAAGAACCAGAGAAAAAACAGGGAACATGGTGTAGATGGTAGAATAACTGCAAAAGAAAGTTAATTAAGAGAAATTGCAATTCAGGTGCAATCCAAAACTTGTCACTTCCACATTTTATGTCTATTTTCTGACAGTATATGTAACATAGCAACAGCACACATGCGTTATTGTATTGGCCATATTGTGCATATGACACAGAGTTTGCATATCTCTTTGTTAAATGTTGTGGGAATGGGATTAGGACAAATCCTAATAGTTCATATTTTCCCCTTTCTAATATTTCATCAAGAGGAAATGCCAACGCTGCCACATTCTCCGTTCATAAGTCATCCTCAAACTCACCCGATAATCAGGAATCCTTGATACAGCGGCACAGAGGCGAAATAGAACACAGAGGAGAAGACAGTCTGTGGGAAAAAGAGATGATTAAAGATTCTTTCACATAACAGCTCAAAGCTATATTGCAGATACTCACACACTATAAAAACCCAACCAAACAGGCACCATCGTACTTTGTACTGATCCAATTAACATTTGTATCCAGAATTAAAGAAGAGATTTCTTATTGTTTTGTAAAGTTTTTTTCTCAACAGTAAGTGTATTGTAAAGGCAGAATAAACTTGAGTCAGCTCCCCATTGTTTTCATGAAAATGTGTGCTCAGAAGTTTGTATACTGTGGCAGAATCTATGATTTCTTGGGCATTCTTGAGAGAATATCAATGATCAAGAGGTTTTTTTCTCACTCCAGGTTAGTAGTGGGAATCCATTTAGATAAGTTACATTGGATTTGGAACATACATTATTTTCAAGGAAATTTTTCTTTGGTGCCATCCAAGGTGAGCTCAAAATTACAAGGGCAATATTTGATCAGATCCATTTGCATAATCTGGCGTTATGAAATAAAAAGAGTAATTATTACCTTCATTAACCACCACTACAGTTTTTGTGTCATCCTGCATATGCTCTAAACATGCTATGAAACACATGAATACAACTGTAAGAACAACTTTTTTGGGTGAAAATGTGTTCTATGGTTAGGTGACTGGCCAAAGATTCATACATAAGAACACAAATTATGTGGCAAAAGCTTTGTGACAGATATAGATTTGCATATCAACAAACTCCTTTTGCATCTGCTTCTTACTCACAATAATTCCCTGTAACAGACAATCAATCAACCAAATCAAAACTTAAATTGTGTTTCTCAATCCAAATCACAAATCCAGACAGACATGTTTGGCTTTTGTTGTATGCAGCGGTGAGTCATGGGCTTTCCCTCCGTCTGCGGGGGAGAGTTTGGATCAAGAGATGGGAATAGGAGAGAAGAAAGAGGCAGGGACCATCCAGAGCTCTGAGTCACACAACCCCACATCTACGGTTCTGCAGGAATCCCTGCTCAGCCCCTCCACTGCCCGACAACAAACACGACTGTCTGCGTTTAGACTGACGACACGAGCAGATGCTGTGTGGGCTTGGTCACATATTACACTTAAATACAAGACCTTCAGATTGCATTAACAGTGTGGGTTGTAGATTCCTCTGTTGTGTGCATAATTTAATTAAAGTTGGGGTATATAATTTTAATTTTGTTTGACCTAACAGAACGAGTCTTGTAAAAGGAGAATGTTGTGAATAAATCACACCACAGCAGGCTCATTAGAATGCATTTGTCTTTTGCATACATACATTTTTTTGTGGTTGGAATGTTAGCTTAGCCCAGCTTTAAGGCAAAATACAGCAAAAAAATAGGGGAATCATTCTCTGGATTTAAGGGACTGGCATGCCAAAACATTTAAAAGGTTCCTAGCCCTTTGCATGGGCCATGATCTTTATTTGAGGTTCATGTGAGTAAAAGGCTTTGATGGCAGTGGTACCTGCATAGTACTGATGCAGAGGCTGCGGTGGATCACAAACTGGCTCAGAGCTGCTGATCTCTTGTAGCTGTTTCGACCGTGGACCATGAGGAGTCGGCCCAAATGTTTGAACTGCGTCACAGAGAAATCTGCAGCCAGAGACGCCTGTTTGCCCTCCTGTTACACAGAACACATTTGCGGATTAGAATTGATGGTATAAAAAAGGTCACAAAAAGTAAGATCAGATTCATTAGTAGTGTTTTTACTGTAAGATCACATGGAACATGTAACTTTCAGGCCTATTATAGGTGCACATTCGAGTGCGTAGTGCATTGAGGATCTGAATGAGTTTTGCCAAATAAAGAGGGATTCAGAACGGGCCTGAAAAATTCACATTGCTTATGTTTGACAAGGGATATTTTGCACAAACAGTGACAACTGGCTTCAATTCTGACAAGACAAATTCCTCCACTTTTCTTTTTCACTGTCTCTCATTTAAACTAGAGGAATCATCTGCCCTGAACTGGAGTGAGGTCTTTAGCGGAAGTTCTGGTGAAATGTGCAGTGATGATGATGAGACTTACTTTGCCCTCCACTCCCACGCCACAGTCCGCTTCCTGGATCATACTCACGTCGTTTCCTCCGTCTCCTGAGAGAAACAAAAACCATCCCAGTGTTAAAAGCTCTCCATCATGCATCATGCAGCCACTTTACAGTGATGAGAATGGTATATCTTTTAAACTCTGGAGTGTACCACCCCCTTGTCTCCTTTAAGGTGTTATTGGAACTTGAATATTATAAATAAACAAATAATAGAAAGTCAATTGTTGTTACAACCCCATTTGGCCATTGTAATATAATGCATGTGTCAATACATCACATGAGACATGATTGTTTTCTCACCCACAGCACAGGTGAGTTTTCCGGTGCGTTCTTGAAGTAACCGAACAATCTGGGCCTTCTGGGTGGGAGCACATCGGCAGCACACAACCGCGGGACATTGACACGCCAGCTCCATGAACTCATACTCGTAATATTTCAGACAAACCTGCAACAAAAGAGCCACAAAAACCAACAAGATAAAGACACCACACGTAACTGAAATCCTAACCCTAACGTGAAGCTTGTAACCACAGACCACATCCAGAGCTGCAGGGCAGCTGATATGATTCTTAAATACTAAGCTGCTGCCTTAATGTATTTAAACATAATGTATAGCCCAGATTATTTGATTTATGAAATAACATTTGCATTTCTGACTCCTTCAATTACTAGTCAACTCCTGGATTGTAGCCTGCTGTTGTGTCCTCTGCTGCACCATGGTTTGTGCTTACTGGAACATTTCTCAAGAACAGTCTCAAAAGATTTGTGTCGTCAAGTCTGCACCCAGTGTTCAGGGACTTCTCCAGCTCCTTCCTGAGCCTTGTTCTGTCTTGCCACTGCAGTTGTGTTCTTCTTCACAATCACACTTTTGTTCCAAGCCTCTTCAGATATCTTAATCACCTCTGCGTGGGTAGTCTCCAGGGGCCAACCATTATTATCCAGCCTCCTCAGTTGTCTTCCTCTGCAAGAGTAGACTGCAGAAAGAGCATCTTCTCATTCCTGGCCTAATCATTTTTGTGCTTCTCCAAATGCAGACTCCATGAGACGCTGCTTACGTTGGGAATCTGCATCCATCTGTGACTGCCCTCATGTTCCAAGCATCTTCAGTGGTCTTCAACTCCTCGGCGTGGGTAGTCCCCAAAGCCAGACGCTTATTTCAGCCTCATCAGCAGTCCTCCTCTGCAAGGGCAGACTGCAGGGAGAGGGCCTTCTCTTTCCAGCCTCCTAAGTTTTTTACTTCTCATCTGCAAATACAGACTCAGCAAGACGCTGCTTTTGTTGGGCGCCTGCTGCCATCTGTGTCTGCTTTGCAAGGGCCAACTTCAATACTGAGTAGGTTGTATTCTTCCCACTCCAAAGATGACAAGAGGTTTTTTTTTTTAAACCAAAACTTGTATTTTGGTCTAATCTGACCCAATATTAACATTATCTGTCATCATAAAATGTAGTATAATTAATTCGACCTAATGTCACATTTAGAAGAAATGAGGACTTCATGTTGTGAATGGTATTGTACTTTATAACCTATGACACTTATGGGTTGTTTTATTATTTTATGAAAACTGGTCTTTCAAGATCAAGATATTTGCTGTATGTAATAACGTTATTACATTGTGGAAGCATGAAAGTCTGTACATATTGCGTATAATAATAATGCACCTAAGGAGTCACAAGGTCATTACCTCGAGCGAGTCTCCGGATATGACCAGAGCGCAGTCGTGTTTCCTTCTGAAAGCGTTGAGCTCCAGGTGGGCCTCTCCTCGTGTGGTCACCTGAAAACAACCACATATAAAACAAAGACACAAACTCACACAAGCGACCTACATATGTAGATACCGAAAGAAGATCAACAGCCTCTGAAAAGTACCCATTTCAACTGCCCACATTGAGTATGGGGCCAATCTCCTCAAGAAAGCCATTGGATTGCCTACAGCAGTGGGGTACAGGGCCCCCTTGTGGTGTGTGGAATAATTTCATAAAGATCTATGATATAAAACTGGCAACAGCAGATAAACAATTCTAAAATTCAGTTTAAGGAAAATTCTGGAGTATGAGTAATGAGTAATATTAAAACAGAACTAAAGAACTAAAGAACTAGAATTATGACGTTAGAGACACAGGAGTGTGCCGGTTTGGATTACAGTTGGTATTCTTGTATTGAGAAATCCAACAGGTAAATTCGTATTAACAAAGACGGCAGTGTTTGGTTTTTCACAAAACAAACTGCATTACCATCAAATCCAAGCTACCTATAAAACGATGGAAAAGTACAGGTAGTTCTTTTACTAAAAGGTTATCCCGAAGAGCAGTGTGTTTGTTGGACAAGTGTGCTTTATCCATTACAACTATGATCACTTTCAGACTATTCTTCACACAAATCAATTTACAGATAAAATACTACAGAAATACGAGAAAATAATGTTGCACTTCTTGTTTTGTGAAGTATTTTTTTAATAAAACATTCATATTCTAACAACAAAATGTGTAAAAAGAAAAAAATTACAAACTACAATTGTGTAAAATGTCAGTTTTGCAGAATCACAAACCCTTGTATTCGAACATCCAGCCGTTGGATAAACTGAGGTTAACAACAACTGTGTCATGTTCAAATATAGATAACTCCAAACATGCAGAGACTGGAGTGAATCTGTCAGCAAACTCTATACGCTGTGGAATAAATATCCTTCAAGCAACGTCAATTTACATCACAGCTTTGGAAGTGACCAGGAAACCAATCCAGATGTGTGCATTCGAAAGCCAGTCAGCAGCACTCCCCTCCTCCTGGGACCACCGCGGTTTATAAGCCTCTGCCAGCCATTGTTACAGTCCAGATTTTCAAACCACACTTGTACGCAAGTAATAACCTTCTCTGGCTCTGGCGGTGATCCAAAGGGGAAGCCTAGAATCAAAGCCGTAAAAAAAACTCCCAGACCTGCAAAACAAATTAGGAAGCGAGTTTGTAGCATGTTCCCACTGGGAGTGGTTCAGCTGGTTTCTCTCTGTTCTTTTTTGACGGAGGACGCAAGGTTTCAGTGGAGTAGAAGTGATTTATTATGCTGTGGACATCACTTACAGGGGTTTTCTGAGCCGAATGGGACCTCAAGAGGTCCTGGGATAACCTTTGAGAAGGGGTGGGCAAACTTGACAGAGATGCACCAAAATAGATCATTAATTGATTACACAAAGATAATATATGATATTATTAGGTTAAATAAGAACCAACAGCATACTTTCTCTCCTTTGAATAGTTGTTTGTTTTTAGCTTTAGGACATATGATGATTGGATAATTCTGATAATTGAGCAATTATACTTTATATAAATTGATTTGTTGTTTATAACAAATATGATAAAAACATAATATGAGAGGAGCCAGCTGAGGTGACTCGGGGATGTTTCAGATGACTCCTGGACACATCTCTTAAAGGACAACTCACCCTCAAATCCACTTTTTTTTGCTGATAAACGATTTAAATGAGTGTCCAATAGTGTTGTCTACATATCCTGGTCATAATCTTGTCACTTTGGTGCAAATTAGTTGAAAGTAAATCTTTCTGCCTAAAACCGTCTGTGAGGCGCCATCTGCTGGCGACCTGTATTACTACATTTGAATTTTGAATCTGGCGCCAACACTGGCACAGAAGTTGGACCTGACGTCTGCAAGTTGGACCTGACGTCAGCAGCCCCCCGCCCAGAGCAATGTAAACGGCCCAGTCTCGTTCACGCCCCCTTTAGTCCTCCAGGCTACGCCCATTTAGAGGAAGATTTGAACAGGAAATGTGAGTGACGTAAGCTCCGAGGAGCGGGGGTGAGAACCACTTTAAACAGCTCTACCCTTGAATACTGGTGTTAGAGAAGCTCTTGCAACTCACAGGTCTGAAAATGTGGATGTCCTGGGAGCGTGTGATCAAATGGGCGTTTTTCGCCGTGCACGTGGCCGTCTCAAGTTTGTCCCCTGTCAACATCCAAACCTGCAGATAAAAAATATGTTAAAAATATTCTATACAAATTACTCATCTTCCGTATATGTCGAGAACATTTTTTTTGCATCCAGCGTCTGATTGTGATTCAATACGCAAGCCCTCGCTTGAAATAAGAACCTATTTTCCAAGATCCTTTTGTCAGTAAGCTATAGGTTAATTAAGTAAATAGAACTTAACAAGTCAAGACATTTTGATCTATAAAGCTCATATCATCACACTTGGACACACGTTTAAAAGTGTTGCCTTTTGAAAATTAAAAATGAATACAGTGACATAATACTTTTGAATGTACTAAACAGCTGCAAATCGTTAATCTTTTATTGCACACTGCTGATAATAATCATGTTTGAAGCTGTTGTCGTGGTTACCTTGATGCCTGCGTTACGAAGGATCTCTAGTGTGGGTCGGACATCAGTCTGCAGCTGGTCCTCCACTCCGGTCAGACACAGCAGCTCCATCTCCATCTCCAGGCTCTCGATCACTGTGGCCACCTTCAGGGAGCGGTCGTGAACGCTCAGCTTGGCCTGAACGTACCGTGCCTACAGACAAATGACATTTATGAGCAGCTATAATGTTTTTCAAGCTACAGTGCAATGCTTTACCATTATTTTTTGCAAGAAGACAACATTTGGGCTCTAACCCAACGTCATACAGGCCGGACATTAAAGGATTACTTAAAGGTGACATAGTGCGCTCTTCTTCATGTTTCACAGTCTATTTTTTGCACATTAAATGATAATAAAATAATTTGAGTGAAACACCATACAGCACTCAAAACTTGTGAGATTATAGCCATCTCTGGCCAACTCAAATGAGCTGAGAGGAATCTGCTTCTCTGCCTGTGAGTATTAATATCATTATTATTATTATTATTATTGGCAACAAACAGCATATTTATTGTGTATTTTTTCCCTGTTTTCAAGACATTATCTAAGAACCATTTTTAATAAAAATCCATCCATCCATTTTCTTCCCCTTAATCCATTTATGGGTCGGGGGGGGGGGGGGGGGGGTGGCCAGAGATGCCACCCAGTACACAGAGCACCAGCCCCTCACTGATCCTCCTGCAGGTCAAAAAGGCCAATGCTCTACCAACTGAGCTACTGTCGCGTAAAATAGACTTCTGCGCGTTAAATTCGTCATCAATGTTGAAAAAGTCATAGATGTGGACCCGGGCGTTTTGCTGCATCTCGAGAATGAAAGAGAAAGATTGCTCTTTAACTAAAATTTGAAGGAATCGATGAGAAACTACTCAGGGAATTTGTATGAAGGCTAAATACCACTGTAATGATATTTAAAGCAGAGAAAAGTCAACAAGCGTAATATGGAACCATGCACAGGCAGAATCAAAACCATGTAAGATGTTGATAGAACACCGTTATTAAATATGTAACGTTTTGTATAGAAAGAGCATTATTTTATTCTATTTTGATATTCATTAATTTTACACAATTTTACAATTTGTTCTCAATACCAATCATACAAGGCTATTGATATTGACTTTTTATGACAGACTATGAACATGCATGTTGTATTGAATAAATACTTATATACTTTTGGTTAAAAATAAATGTAAAAAACTTGGTGGACGACCGTCTTGTTTCTTGCTGCAGGGGTGATTTGTAAAGTCCAAACAATCCGAACGTGAGTCAGACAGGAAGTGGCCGGTGGGTGAGTCAGCCGTGAGTCAGAGCTCTAGGCTGCGAGGGTGAGACGAGGGAGAGACGGCCCAAAACAATGACTGCTCCCAGGGTAAGAAGGAGGGGAATGCAAGGGCTCCTGGAGGTCAAGGCTTTCATTTGTTTATCTATTAAAACAAGGAAGGTCTGTTTGCACGCATTTGTCCCCACACTTTTGCATAATGACTTAAAGGTGATGACCAGAGCCAAAGTTGTTTACGCACAGCTGACTGTACAGAAGTCTACGAGAGCCTACTTGCATCAATGCGCACATTTTTGAGCAGCTTTTAATGAACAGTGAGGGGCTGGGACTCAGAGCTGGAATGCTCCATATTACGAATTTAAAATAAACTAATTTAAAATAAGCCACTCTATGGTAGTGCTAGTGGCCAAACATTTATGCACTAAGCGTATAAAGATGTGGCAAATTTCTTTGTAACAAATAACAAAGAAATTGTTATTTCTTTGTTATTTGTAACACTTTTTTAATCAGGTTCAGGTCTTTTTAACGCACACCTCAAAATCCTGGTACTGCTCCTCTGTCAGTGACTTCTTGGAAACAACCAGGACCCTCAGGCCTTCACGTGCCATGTTTCCACACTAGAAAATAACATGTCAATTTATAATAATGTACAATATAAAAAGTAAAGTTAGTGTAGCAGACCTCCTCCTCCAGCCAGTCGTTGTACTGGACGATCCCAGCCATCACCACATCTGCTCCCTTCATGTAGAAAGTGATCTCGCCGTTCGATTCGTCCTGAGGCAATATCAAATTATAGTTACTATAGAGTACATGGGGTAATACACCAAGGGACTGACAATAGACTATAGTTTTGAATAGAATAATTTTGGGGATTAGACTTGTACTGATGGAGATGTTACATAATAATACCGATGGTCATTCAGTATGTAATTCAAAATAAAGCAAAAAGGAAATACAGTGTTTCTCAAACCTATTTTTCAACAATTCATTCATAAACTGTACTACATGTTGCCAGGAAGTACTTGCAAATTCACTGGGAATAACAATAATCATGTGAAAATATTATCATGTGGAAGTCCAAATAAATTGACTTTGTTCAATGAAAATAAAAGTCCCTGGCCTCAGAGTTCACAGAAGGGAATACTGTAGGAATCGATTATCTTGTTATTGTTTCCAGACTCAAGATCCACTCAGTTTCACTTCTTATATACTACAGTGCTCTATGGAAATTATCTAAAAAGGAACTACAATTTGGCTGGATCGGACGTATTATGTATTTATGCAAGTAATGTTAAGTCACTTTGCACCCATTCATTTATGCATAACTAATAACACAATATGAAGAAACAACATGCGATATGTGTGCCTCACACACGCACACACACACACATGCAGAACACACACACACACTTTTACATGCATATAGATTCTGTAAGTCAGATAGGTCTGTCAGTGTTGCTCAGTTTGTAACTGTAACATTCTTCAACGTGTTTGTACGTTTTGTTTATCATAAATAATAATTTAAACAGGAAAAAGACCCTTGCTTTCCCTGCATTCAGAGGGTAATTCAAGTTACCTTCAAATAATTATCAATTAGATCATTGTACACATTCGCTGAATATTTCCTTTTTGAGTTATGTTGCTCACAGACCTTTACCTCCAGGGGGAGGTAAATATTTATATTACGAGACAGTTACCCGCACAATGATCCCCATCCTCTTGCTCTCGTAGGTGAAGGGAAAAATCTGCAGGATGGTAAAGTTCAGAATTTGTCCAGTAGGGGTCCTCAGCTGAATGGAAGACTGGTCCCGTCCCACAAGAGTCAGTCCCACGCTCTCAGTCCATTGCACCAGCGACACCTTCAGCACAGAGCAGGAATATATGAGACAAACGTCCATGTAAAATACTTTTTATATCTCACACTTTTCTCATAACTTAAAATTATGTTTGAATTATTTTTAAAGAATTTTCCATCAGTAAAGTCCTCTGTGATTTAAGCCACCACCTGCACGGCAAAGCCTGATCCTGTCACGTCAGAATAAAAGCAGCACATGCAGATGGTACTGATGAGAGACCTCTGGGAACATCAGGTGGGGCGGTTGCGGGTGTAAAGTGCCAAATATTTGTCATTATGACGTTTACTATGATGTTTCATAGAGGGGCAGGTACAATGCATGGACTCTTCGTTTAATAATATATTAATTATATTATTATATATTTCAGCAATGATGTAAAGTTGTTATTGATTACAACTTACAAAGTATCAGACAAATTTAATAAAAATGAACACCGTTGACAATGTTTTTTGTATGTGAAGCTGTTTGAACTAAAGTGGAGTAACACTACATCCCGTAACTGAATGAGAATGGCAAGACAAAAAACAGAAGCATATATTGTATTGCCTATAAATAATAATCAACCTGATTGATTTCTAAAAGGAAGATTTTCCACGGGCCTCCACCATAATATTAAACGATTATGGTGGAGATGTTGTGATGTCACGTGAAGGCAACCCATCGAATCAAAGAGTTGTTTTGTAGTTGTACAGGTCTTTTACCTCATCGGGACTGGACGCCTGGTACACTCTGCACGTGTCCTCGTAGTGCTGCTCGGCCTCTGCCTGGTCGGTGACTCCGTTGGCCTCATACACTGGCGTCACGTTGTGCACCAAAGCGATGGCTTTCACTGCCTCGTGCACGCGGCTGCTGATCGTCTTTCTCACTTTAGTGGCTCCCGGAGCTCTGGAGGCCGGAAGGTCGTGTGTGGGCTGGATGCAAGGACAGAACGACAATGCGAGTTTACAGGAAAAGTAAAAATCAATAAAGATTTCTAACGAGATGCAGAAGTATTATGTAATTTACTTCAAAGATAAGAGATTTTTTGACAAAACTTTTAAGAGAAGTTTAAATTAGATTCACAATGTAGTCATTGTGTACTTAGCCTGGCCTTAGCCATCCGTAAACTCCGGTCAATTATTATTTCCCTAAGTACAAAATAAAATTAGTATGATTGTGCGATGCTATACGGTACTATAATCATACAGACTGGTGTATAAATGACATGTAAAAACGTCACAATTTCTGAGTTTTGCCAATGATACACTTTTTTCTCTCTTCGCAATTTCTCCAGTAGCTTTCAGTCACATGTTTCACATTTGACTGAAAAATCCAGTCACAATTATCATAATCACAAGAATAATTTGTTTATTAATTGCAGTCATGAAGTCCAATCCAGGGAATTCCAGTGCCTGATGATGATCATGAAACACAATGCAAAAACTATTACTCATGCAAAACCAATTTTTGACCTTTCACGCAAAAGTTGTTTGATACAGTGAAAAAAGTGAATCACAAACTTCACCAAAAGCTATCAAATGGCAAACATTTTGGATAATTCTACTGCCTTTAAGCAGGCCTAGAGCTGTCAAATGCACTAAATAAGCAGTCAGTAACAATGCTGGTGAGAGACGTCTCTAAGCATAACCAGGTGTCTTAAGAAAATATGAACTATGAGCTGTTGTTGTGACGCTGCTATTTTTAGGCAGTTAATGGCGGCGTCATTAAAGCAGCCCGTTTGGTGCTTTGCTTTTGGCTAATCCTGTTTCCTGCTTCACTAACCTCTCGTGTCAAAGGGGGACAAAGAGAGGCGTCTGAGGTCAGGAAGCATTCACACAAACAAAAATCACAAATTCATACGCCTCTCAACACAAGGCACACACTGTTTGTTCCCGCTCTTTCCCATGCAAATTTCGAAGAGGACGTACAAAAACATACTATGATGGGCTTTTAATTGCATTTTACTTACCCTACAAACACCTGGAGTAGTATTTGTATTTGTATAATGTCTGTATAATTATTCTTGTTTTTAGAGAATTTTTGATGGCAGTGTTCAAACATACACCATTCCCAAATCACTCATTCATTACATAGTGATAAGGAGTTTGCGAGCGCACAGTGATTGATCCATTACATTATTGTTGTCTCTTACAAATGAACTACTCTAATGTTCAGGTGGGAAATAAGTCAGCCAAACGCCTACATTTATTTCTGTAATTAAAATTGATTTGAGAACAAATCCTACAAGTTTGAGTCATGCTGGATTTCACATTAAGAGTTCACACTAATTGGTCAACTGGACTGTTTTCCACAATGTGTGCACCCCAATTATTTATATAATTTCGAAATAAATAAATAAATGAATACAGTTTGAAGAAGGAGTTTGTGGTCCATCTTAAATATTTTGTCTTTAATTTGAAAATGTTTAAGACAGGGGTAAGCAACATAAGATTATTTTCTTCTTTCTGTTCCTTTTCATTTGTGTGACAAGACTATAATTATTTTAAACTAAATTATAATATGTGATGTATTATCATGTCCACAATTTAAATAAATAAAAAAACAATTAAATAAATAAATAAATAAATAGCACAGGGGTAATAATTGTTGTACTTATTACAAAACGTCTTGAAAAGTCACAAGCACTTCAGCTTTTGGGTTGAATAATGTGTATATTATACGTGAGGCTGCAAATCTGATCATCATAAAACACATCGTTCCAACGTTCATATTTGCCCTTGTACAAGTGCTAATGTTTTGAATGACCTGCTTTCATACTGTGCTGCATGATTGTGCTCACCTGAGTGTATGCACTGAACACGTGGCTCTGTACTTCGTCCATGGAGTCCATCCCGTAGGCCACAGTCCCCAGATGTAGACGGCGGAAAACCATTTCATTCTGAGTTAATGTCCCTGTGATAAATTTAAAAAAAAAGAAACAAGAACGTTATTATCCGTTTTTATAGAACGTATTTCTTTCTCTAAAACCAGGTCAATAGGAAACATGTAATTTCAGAATTTTAATACTTCAATCGGATGTGACTGACGCGTCTGCTATACACGGTCTGAATGCTGCAGCCCTTTACCAAATAAAGAACATCGCCAGGATCAAAAACATAGTGTCTAAAGCAGACTTGGAGATTCAAAGGCCTGCTCACAGGTCTGTCCAAACTGCAGTAAAACAGCTGCAGTACATTCAAAATGCAGCAGCTCGAGTCCTGACTAGAACCAGGAAGTACGACCACATTAGTCCAGTTGTGAGTTGTGTTGTGCTATACAAATATAGTTGCCTTTTTTCTCCATTTAAATCAAGTAAAACAGATTACTATTACCGATTACATGACTGAATAAGAAATGTGTGTGGTCCAAAACGTAAAATAATGAAGTAAAATAATCTAGATACATACAGTTACATAATCCTGTTATGAAATTAATTTTAAATGATATGCATTACTGTGGTTTAAATGGGGAAATGGCCTGTCGGTTTACTGGGCATAAAGGCCGTAAATCTATGACCCAACACCTACAACCTGGAGGAAGTGCTCAGGGAGAGGTGTGTGGATCTTTTATGATTCAATGATCAAATGAGAGTGTGTCTTTAGCAGCACTCCGCTCACAGCCCGACACCAGAGGAAGTGGCTTAACTCTGCACATTTAGAACTGTCCGGAGCACTAAAAGCTTTTCTTAGACTGGTTTATTTACACAGGCTTTCCTTCAGTCTTTGCCACACAACGAGAAATGGCAGTATCCAGTGTTTATGTTATGTGTATTCAAAATTAGGAAAAAAGCATTATACTAACCAATCATCCATCAATGTTGTATTAACAAACCATAGACGACTGAAATGATGATGATGACATTGGCGATATATCTATGAACAGCGTCTGTTTTACTCATAGAAAATAGTTTAATAACAATTTCCCGAAGAAACAATATGACACTATTATAATATCCATCCATCCATCCATCTTCTTCCCCTTCATCCATTTCTGGGTCAGGGGGGTGGCAGTCAGAGCTGCACCCAGTACACATAGCACCAGCCCCTCACTGATCCTCTGCAGGTGGTGAGTCCACAGGAGGACGGCTGCTCTGTCAGTGACAATACGGCCTTGATTTTTCAGCGGGGGCTTCAGGCAATGCAGGGTTAAGTGTCTTGCCCAAGGACACAACGACAGCAGTGATCAGTGGGAGTTGGTGGAGAAGGTCCCATGGTGGGCTTGAACCCACGACCTTCAGGCTCAAAGGCCAGTGCTCTACCAACTGAGCTACTGTCGCACTATTATAATAGTGCAATAATAATAATTTTCCACAGAAAACGTTTTTAAGTATTCTGAGGAAGTATCCGAAGTAGGAATAGAAAAGGTTGGGAAAAATGTCTAATTCTAATAATTTTTTACAATGTTCCTTTTCATGAACTAACACAGTTGTATTCAGACATTAATGTATGTTTGGATCTACATGACCCCTGTTCTTTGGTAGCGATACAAACAGCTTGGTTGTTCTGTGTCAGACCTGTCTTGTCGGTCAGGAGGTAGGAAATGCGTCCCAGTTGTTCTGGGATGGTACTCGCACGAACAACGGTCCCCGGAATCTTAGAGTCTTTCTTTATCATCCAGCTGAAAACCATCTTCCCCATGTCCAGGTTCACTCGCAAACTGAAAACATATTTATGAAAATTAAGTTGCATTAGTTGTGTATCTCCAAAAATGTAAGAATTTAATTGAATTAAGAATAAAAATGTATCTTTGAGGGAGGAAATGAAACTAAATTTTCTCCCTCAGAGATTTTGAATCATAAATAACTTACCTACAACCGATTTTATTACAAAATAGAGAGCACCAAGCAATACATGCAAAGTTTCAAATACAGGGCTAGAATACATACTTTATATTTCAATACATATGTATACTATAGTTAATATTAAACATATTAAATAAACAGTGACACTAAAGGCTATTTAAATGCAGTGATGTTTAGTTAAATCTCACCTGATGGGGACGATGTGTGAGAGCAGCAACAGGAAGCGAAGGATCTGTAGGTACCAGCGTCCAGCGAAACGTTGTAGCGCAACCATCACCATGGAAACCATCACCAGGGCCCCAAACAAGATTTTAGTGAGACAGTTCACCTCCAGGTCAAACAAGCCCACCTGAACCAAACAGGTGAAGAATGATTACTGGTGCAATATGGAACCACTGCAACGTTTAATAATTAGGCTTTACAATAATAATCTATTCAAATATACAGTATGTATAATTATATATATATTTTTTTTAATCAGGATAAATCTGTAAAAAAATGCTTATAACAAGATTTCAAGTTTGAAGTATGACCTATGTGGTCTTTACAGTCTTATACGCTGCTACACTTCTTTGTGGTCTGTAGAAACAGAACACTTCCAGTAGAAAAGGCAGCAGCAGATTAATGAAAAGGGGAAGCCTCACCAATGATTTGCAGTAAGTTTTGGAGTGTGTGAACCCAGGTGATTCGTGTGAGGATCATTATTCTTTTTGTTTGGATAATCATGTTGAAAATCGAAACACCAAACATTATTAAAAAATTGTGTCCATTGTTTTGTAATTAAGAGGGAAAATGTTATTTACTGTATATTGCTGTGCATATTGCTTTGTTCTGTAAATGATGTTGTACATGTTCTGCAATAATCATAATCATGGATTTATTGGTATCAGTAAAACATGCCAAAAAAGTTCTTTACAAAATAAAACAAACATTATTAATCCATGTTGTCAGGAGAGGAGAGGCCTGTTTCACATACTCAGGAAGACTGCTGCAGTTTAGCTGTATGATTGGAACATGTTTACTTTCTGATGATGCATATATGGAACATGTTTATGTAATTTCATGTCAATCATACATATGGTTCCTTTATGAACTTACAGTAAAGAGTTTACCACTACTGTACCTTGTTTCTGGGATTGGAGGTGTTCATGACGCTGCGCAGCTCTCGCCCAGTGTAAATCACCACCCCCACCACAGTGCCTGGGGAGTTGAGAGGGGATTTAGACCAGCGGTCCCCACACAAAACACCACCTCACATGTGTTACCACCATACCTAAATATGTGGACGTCAGATATTTCATAGTTGTCTTAAAACTATTACTCAAACCCCTAGCGACTACAATAAACGACTTATCACACAAATCTTCCCATTCTTTTACTCTCATCAGACAATTGTGACACAATAATCATTTACGGATTCATGAATATGGAAATGATTATATGGCACCCCAGTAAAACGGGTGTGGTTCCAAATTGCATTGTTGCTTTTTTATTTACAATCTAACACTCAAGAAACTTGGGATGAAGCATGGAGCTCAAGCCAATGGGGGGACTGGTGTAAAACTGGTCTGGTTCGTGGTTCATCTACAGTTTGAGACGCAGTCCCTCTGCAGTACCCAGGCTAAACTCGCAAACTCCTATAAGACTGGTTTTATCAAAGATTTAAAGCATTTGAGTTTGGTTCAAGCACCTGTATGTAAACAAGGCAAAATGTAATCCGAAATTAAAACAACAAAAAAGTTTCTACAAAAGAAAGAGAAAAAGAAATACAGGAGGTGTGAGCAAAGACACATTGGCTTGGGGGGTTAAAAACTGTAAAATCAAGACACGCCATAAACCAGAGGACGTCAAGGAGATGTTTCCCAGACGCCTAATCCTCACATAAATAAACCACTCTGTGAAAATGTCATTTCAAATATGTGATCCAGATTTCCAATTGTCTAATGGCAAACACATGTGACGGAGATCAGCGCAGCTTCAGTAGAGGCTGGGTTAGAGTATACCTAACTGAGTCAATGGACTCACTACATTGATTATATATAATATATATAAAAATATATATATTTTTTAACTAATATATTAAGTATAATTAATAATACATTTGATGATGCTGTGTACCAACAATAATATAAGTCTTCTTCTGAGACACGACCCCAGACCTCTGGGATCTTTTGTCATTTTCATCCATTTCTAATTTAAATTGCACAAGATTAGAAAGATGTTTTTACCAGAAGCAACAACAGTGCTTGCCCACAAGGTGTTTTCGATGCTGAGACTTTCGTTCACTGGGTGGTCACCATCTTCCTAAATAAAAGATAAAAATGTTAAAACAATATTTAGATCTTGTGTAAACATGGATGTAAAGGAGGTGAACACATTTACCCTTGTGAAAGTGCCAATGAAATTATGGATGTCAATGTTTGGTTCTTCAGCATAAACGTACGATCTGATTTGTAGAAGATCCTATAAGACAGAGAGAAGGTTTCCAGTTGTTTTTACTGATTTGTGTAACTTCTGTGCTGCACAAACACAAACAGATCATTTTAATGTCGGGCAAATTCTCCATTGGTTTAACTTTTACCAATGACAATGACATAAGTTAACAGTTAAGCAGATGAAGCCGTTATGCCCAAGGTCATAGTAGAACTCCAAAAACGCAACAGTATAGTATAAACAGTATCTACATTACGTAAAGTATATTTATTAACATTGTACAGAAATGTACATCTCCAATAGGCCGTCTCCCGCACAGACACAAAATGTTCTGAAAACCTAGGAGTCTTGCATTAGTTTTCATTTAGCCATTCAGCCTTGTTTCAATCAGTCCTCTTATCATTTAAAAGAGGAGGGTCACACTAAGATTTTATAATCTCTTTTTCGGTCTTTTTCTCCCCACCGAGGAATCTATTGCACATGTTTTTAGTGATGGGGGAAACCGGAGCACACAGAGGAAACCTACGCAGAAGTGTAAAGAATATGCATGAAACAGTAAGCATATGGGACTATGCTTACTCTTAAAACCACTGTGCTGTTAATTAAATAATTCAATTTAACAATACATAATCATGACATAATCTTTTCCCGTTAAACCTTAAACTGTGCATTTCACAACTGAAATCTTTCACATATAAACATTTCCATCCATTGTATTATGTTTAATTTTTTTCCAGGTCACAAAGGGAGAAGTCTGAGCAAAATATTTGCTTCTGGTATAATTATACAGCACTAAAACCAAAAGAGATAATATTCTCATCCCTGACTTACTCCAGCAGTGGGCAGCCGCTGCGTACAGGCCACTGGGAGGCGCAGTTTCCAGTCTGTTTCTCCATCCAGTTGATCTGTGCGCAGGAAACAGGAGCCTGCGCCATAGAACCATAGAGGACAAGACGACACAGGGGATTCATTTAAACTTTACTTATTCGAAGTAATGGTGTACAGTACAATGTCGATTTGGAAAATATATGATTCAATTCAACTCCATTTACTTTTGTATAGCCTTAAATCACAACAGTTATCTCGGAAGACTTTAGAAAGTTGCCAACACAGATCAGAGCATCTAAACAGCTCAAACACAAGAAAAGACAATGATATGAAATAAATAGATTGGTCCATTGGGGCGGACGACCAATGTCCATAAATGTTAACAAATATCCATAATGTCCTGAATCTAAATCAAGAAGCTAGGTGTCCAAATGTTAAAAAAGATGACAAACCATTCCTCATTAGTACATGTTAAGTACAGAGTTATTGTGATTTGGTGCAGCCCTGGTTTAGCTCTGGTTTTAGCTATTATTTTTCTTTCTTTACTTAATTCCTGGGTACAGACTTAACTGTGCGATATATTTACCTACATCATCATCACATCTTTTTACTAGAAGTCAATAGAATAAGTGCAATTCATCCATAAAAGAGGAAAAGGTTATGGTTTGTTAGATAATGGCCTTTACTAAAGAGGCTAAAAAGGCAACCACCCACAAACTTTGGCCACCCAACCCCCTTTGTCCTGCCTGAGTCACTCTACCTCCAAATCCTGCTTGGGCCTTCATAATTGACCTAATGGCCTCCACATGGAGGAGAGATAACCAAGCACTTTTCCAGTAAAACAAAAGGGCTCCTTCCCCCGGCACAAACATGTGGAAACATAGCGCTCACATTTTTAATGACATTAATTCATGTCTTTGATAAGATATTGATGCCAAAAAAATGCAAAATGTAAAATGTATTATAACTGCAAAGTTATAATGTCTGGATCATCTATTTTTGGAATATCAGAATAATGATAAGTATCTGGATTTGACTTTGATTACTTGTGGCACCCAAGAGCAATCTGATTTATCTGTTCTGTTGGTAGTAAAGTTTATATTAAGTATTTGCCAAATAATTGACAGATGACAGTATTTACTGCGTACTAATCATGTCCGTCTGTGATGCTTTTTTTTCTACTGTGTCAATTCATCTGTGGACAAATTTCCCATTGGACAAGACATTACTGTAACTTAAAAAAAACAACTGATGTGAAGTACAACTGTTAAAAACTGGGCGACCTGAGATTATATATATGACTGATGACAAATCAAGAATGACTACAGATGTTCTCAAGAGACACTCATATATTCCTGAATGTAAATATTAGTGGTGGCTGTAGCAAGTAAATAAATTAAGATGTTTCAACGGATGGTGCAACGACAGCAGGTGATAATAGCTCTTCATTGTGGTGGTAATTTTTATAAGGTTCTTTTGCATATGTGCAAATGCAGAGCTATGGAGTATGCATTAACACGTTGAGACTCGAAGCGCTCTTTAATCCACATTTGATTATTGGGATGAACGAACTCGTCTCACTGTTCAAGCAGTCTTTGCATCAGAGGTTCGTGTTGCTTCATGTCCCTTTCCTGCTCATTTGACAGACAAAAGCTTTTCCAAAAGCTGGACTTCAACAAGGTGTGAAGCCTGAATATCTGACTTTAATATCTTGATGTGATTTTAGAATTTTATATGTCACAGAGGACAATATAAACACAAAAATAACATCTTAAAAATAACATATCTAAAAAGGTTTAAATACATGTTGTAATAGAGATTTCACTTGTTTGAAAATCCGGAAAAATATATTCATTACTGTTCAGTTAGACATGCACAGCGGTTATGAAGGATAAATAATGCAGGTTGTTTGAAAATGTTCGGTTAATGTTGTTTAATGATGGTATTGGTGAAGGTGTGTTAGAATACATTTTATTATGTATATATGTGTTTGTATCAAATAAATTAAAGTAGTTCCTAGCTATCAGAACACTAGTTTTCACATCATGCATGTATTTTTGGCTTCTGTCACATATATTAAGAATGCAAAAAGAGAGTACAAGCCCTCCCAGTTTGTAAACTATAACTTTTCTAACAGCATGTTGTGGTCTGAATGTTTAAAAAGTTACCTAAACAAGACTCACTCTGTTCAAACAAACAACGTGTATTTATGAAACAATAAAACAGTTTTTAACTTCCTGCCTGGACTGGGGCTATAATCCCTCTTTTAATCACTCCACTTCCCCGCTCCTCCACCACTGCCCCTTTGACACTGGGACGTTCTGACATGGAGATGGGCTCCAACGAGCAGCAGATGTTTACCGTTTCTCTCGGAGGTCCTTAAAAAGATCATATCTGCTGGAACACGCTGGTTCTGCAAAAAGCAAACATTTAAAGTTCAATCAACTCAATGGTCACATCTTGAATTGAGTATTTATGAAAAGCCAAGATTTGTTTGATATCAAATCAAACAAATCTTCAGGTCAGGATTCTTTTTTATTTATTTTTCCACATTCAAATATCACACATAAAAAAGGGAAAACATTATGCAGTCAAGTACTGCCTGTTTTTTTCAGTAGCCAAGAGGATTTCAGTAGCATTGAAATTAGAATTGGAATAGAAGGATTTTAAAAGATTTTCAGTAACCATTTTACTTTATTACTTTGAGTAATTAATCAATAATAGTGAATAGGGATTCAAATGTTGATCAATTCCAATACATACAATTAGAAATTATCTTAAAATGTAACAATAACTGGCTCAAAGTAAAGCACTAGTTTGATGCGAGAGTGACTTTTCCAAATCATTAGTAAAAGGTTTGGGACAACATGTGTGACCCGTCCTTCAGCTGCAGCAGTGATCCATAAGGAATCCATCAACACAAACTGACAGTACACGTCTCTCCTTTCATCTGAGAACAACTTCCACACGCCCAAAAGAGGTGGTCAAGTCATGGTTGTAAAATTGTCCAAATCTAGGCTGAAACATTATTATGATAGCATTTTTGTACCTTGTTGTTGGGCAGTTTTTTTGCAGTGCATCTATTCTTTCTGCCACCAGAAGAATGATTGTAGTAAAGTTTAAAACTCGATAAATTTTCAAATGTCACTCTCTTGAAATGTTTATTACACTGAACAAAATTAGACTTTTTAAATCAGATTCAAAATGAGAAAAAATCAGAATGAATGGTGAAATTAAGAAAAGATTTTAGTTTATTTAACTTTTCTTCTTTTTGAGAGCTTCCCATCTTCCTGCTGTTCATGAACTGTATGTTGCTGAAAAACTGAAAGTTCCCCACTGTGGTACACATAATGATAGAGGCCTCTCCACATGGTACATTGTATACAGAATCATTTTCAGACAAACCTTTTCCACAAGAATGAGGTCTCCAACTTGAATCCCGCTGCTCTTCACCTTCACCGTCCCTGAACATGCAAAAATCAAGTCAGCATTGATGAACTATAGTAACGTTAACGGTGATATGCATACAATAAACTAGTTCAACTACAAGCTACAATTTCATCCACCATAGTGCAGTATAAATGTCACAAAATCCCATATTTTGATTGTATATGAATATTGGTTTTGTTTTGTTTTAAAACAAAGCACTTATGCGGAATCAACATTATACCAGCTACAAGCTAAAACTCGTCATTTGAGCAGTAGAGTATGACCTTTTAAAAGGAATGCTGGCTAGTTTAGGCATTTATCCATTAGCAGTGAACAGCAAAAAAATTGTTTGGAAAAGATTCTTGGCCTTTGACGTTTGCCCTGACCCCTGGGCGTTGCATATGTAAGGCATTAAACAACATTAATACAGCTAGTGCCCAGTGCTCTTCACTTTTAGACACGTTAATTGCAACTAATAGCAACACTTGTATAGGAAGGTTTCAGATTACATTATAGCTTTCTTTAGTTAGTACAGAAGGGGGGGGGTCACTTTCTGTTTTTTTGGATTGGGCTTGAATAAAAACATCTAGAAAATGTATCTTGTCACAAAAAGTCACCACATTTGTAAATTTATCCATAAGCATGTTTCTAACCTTTATGATTATAGTTGGGTTTCTATGCATTTACACTGTACAGGAACATTAACAAGATATATTGTGCTTTGTTCTTAAATGATAATCTTTGACAAATGTAGGTCATTGTTATATATTCTCAACATTACACTATGAAACACTCTGGAGCAGCAAGTCGCTAACATGATTACGAGGATACAGAAACAAAAGGAATACTTAAACATAGTTCAGTTATATACCAAGTAAGTAGAAATCACTCTTATGGCATCATTGAATAATTAGAACCAACATTTCCATAGAAACATGTAGAAAAACTTACAATTTCATCAAATCAAATAAATCAGGCCAGTGAGTTCAGTACCGGACATTGCTCTATTGGTTGTCACCATAGAAGAAATCAGAACAGCAGTGGTTCACAGTATGCAGAAGTGGATTTGCTTCTGTCTGTTGTATACAGCAAGGGATTGTAGAGGGACAATAGAGGTATTTTCATGCCCCTCATAATAATCTAATGCATTAAGGGGCATTTCTTTTATTTCTTTTTACTGTACTAATAACTAAGTAACAAAACTTTGTAGTATCAACTATGAAAAAATTAAAAAGGCACATTATACTAACTATTCCTCACCAAAAAAAACAATCCCCTAACTAACTCATAATCCCTGTAATTACACAGAACAGGGTGAGTTTTAAGATCGTAAAAATTCGTACAAAGTGCAGATATGTGGTGGGGCAGCTAACGTGGAGGTAAGGTATAGCTGTGGTGTTTATGTGAAAGACAAGCTGCCACATCAAAGGCCTGCAGTGATGGAAACCACGAGGTGCCATGTTTTTATGGCCAGTAGCACTTTATCCAATACCACATTTCCCCTGGTCCCATAAGATTTAACAGGCCCCACCACCTACAGTGAACAGAGCCACAAAACAAGCTGCACTAGGAACAATCACACACACGTGGAGGAATTTATACTGACTTATTAGTAGTTAAAGGGTACTATTGGGAAAATGTTGTAATTTAGATTTTTTGATAAAATAGCTTCATCCCATCACAACCAGAATAGTCCCACTGAGATTCCAGAATATCTTTTACAAGAAAGTACTCTTCTCCAAAAGGGAGGAGCCAGTTGTAGATGTTTTTTTCTTGATTACCTCTGGTCGAGAGTTTGCTGTAAATTTGTGAGTTGACTTCTTTGTCGCGCAGGTAACAGCGGATCTCATCCACGGCCTCTCGTAAAATAGTGATGAGCATCACCACACCCTGGACACAAACATAGAAAGTATTTTAGTATTTTCAGATTACAAAATCAAACAATTTTCCCTTGGTCAGAAAATAAATGTAAGTTAAGGCTCTGGGATTCAGTTTCCACTAGGGCCAAAATAAAACCAAAACATTTCCAATACAATTACTGCTGAAACACATCCAAAGAACAACTTTCTTCTTTTAGAAAGATTATCACTGTGACATTCTTATTTAGTGCACGGATAGTAAAAACTAATTGATGGCATAAGAGTTTTTGTGGAGTGTGACATACCAGAGGGACCCAGTACGTGTAGAGAGCTCCTAATCGCAGCTCATTCACAAACTGGGAGCAGGCGAGTAGCAGGAAATACAAGTTGAAGAAGTATTTGAACTGATTAAAAAGCACCTGTAAAAAAGTAAAGGAAAAAGATAGTTGCAAATAATGTCACGGTTTATGGCTCTCATTAGCTAGAACATTTGATTAAACAATGTGGTTTTGAGCTGAAAGACAAATCACATGCCACTGTTCATTCACTCCATACATAAAGATAAACTACTGATAGAATGAGGCAACCGGTAACGTGCCATTGGCCTCTCAAACCACCACTAACCATTTGCACACACAGCAGACTCTGAACAATGGGGCTGAAGTATCTTGCCTATGAACACAACAACAGTTTGGCACACAGCTGCAGCCACCCCACTGTGGGATCTGGTGTTACCAGAGGTCTCCCATCGTAGTGCAAACCAGGCCCTGCCCTGCTTAGCTTCAAAAGTCTGACAGGATACAACGCAGGTGGCGCCACTAGTGTCTTTATAATTGTAAAAACGTGATACTACTTTTAATTGCACTGCAATACATCCTGTATACATACTGTAGTACACCTGCCACAACAATCCCAGTAAATGTGATGTGTCCTGATAATGTTATTCATCAATACTAACAGTGTGTTGATTCTAAACTGCAAGTATATTTCAGATCAGGATTCACACATGATAATTTCCTTGATACTGAGTGTTACACCAACCATATTTGGAACGTAGCTACTTTTTGTAATATTCAAAAAATATTATTTTACAAAGAATTGAACTGTTATATTTGATAAGATAAGATAAACCTTTATTAGACTCACAGTGGAGAAATTTCAGTGTCATCGTTGCACATTACAGCAGAGAAAGGAAATAAGAGCACTCAGATTGCACACATCAAATAAGTCTATTATTTAAGGTAATAGACAATAAAATTAAGATAAAAATAAATAAAATGAGATAAACTCTGGGCTATAATTGCACTTGGTTCGGAAGTATTTACAGATGTCTATATTATACATTAGCCGCGGAGAATATGAGAATAGGAGTTTGAGCAGAAAAAACATCAGAAATAATATCAACAGGTAAATCATGCAATTCAAGCAATAATCTGTATCGTGTAGTAAAGTTCAGTAATTTCACCAACACTGATGACATCACACTATCTTTACTTAATTATATTATTATTTTAAAAATAAACTATAGAAGAGATATCTTAGGACACTGGAGCTTCTCTGTCCATCAACAAACTTAATGGAACAAGTACATTTCCAGCATTAATTAATTTACATTTAGTTTAGTATAAAAATTAAATACAAGCCGATCTTCATTTCTTGATTTACTGCAACAGAGAAGCAGGAGATTCTCTGTTCAAAAGTATAACACAGCATTATGCTCCAATACTTCTTGGGATGAGATAAAAACATCATCATTTGCATTGCAAAAATGCTTTGCTTTTGTCCTTTGCTTTTCAAACAAATGGGAGCTACTTTTAATGTCTGGCTTCATAAAAAGTCATAAGATCTTAAGACAACTAAATGTCTGGAAAACAAATATATATGTAAATCAAAGCAGGAACATGCGAGAGTCAAAATCACTCAGCTTAACTTGTGCTCATATTGTCACGTATAAGAAAGACATTCAATGTGCGGCAAATCCACTGAAGTCTCATCAAATCCAACAGAAAAGAATTAAACAAGAGAACAATATGACTAATGTGTATGTATGTGTAAGACTTATGTTTGAAGCAACAGAAGATGTATTTTCAGTCTGCATGGTCACAAAAGCATGGAATCAGCTGCATTGGAATTTGAAATAGGCACTGACCCCTGGTAAGAAGGTGAAGAAGTTGTATTTCTGGTTGTTGATGACGTTTCTGGGATATCTTTGCTCCCTTTTCTCTGGATGTCCTAACCACACTGTGCGCGGACGCAGCTCCCCCAGGCCACAGCATCGTGACCACGGGCAGCACCTGTCAATTCATAGTAGATTGTTAGACTATACATTATCTTGAATAATGACTGACTGCTTAATTTAACCTGACTTTAATATTTTCCTGAACGAAATAAGTAAATGCTTGGACTGAACCAAAACTGGACCCAAACTTAGAAAGGCTTGTTATTGCAGATTGATAAACCAGTTATTATTATTAGCTGCATTTCAGAAAAACATGAAGTGGATTGTGCAGTGGCGGACATTTGCTTTCAATTTATGTAGAACATGCCCATAAAACCTCAAACGTCTTCCTTTCAACGTTTGCAAATAATGATAATAATTGAAAATCCTTTGTAGGGAACTTCTGAATATATCCCCTTGCACTCATAGGTGGGGGGATTGGGGAAGATTGTTATTTTGTAAAAACTCTTTGATGTAACCCAGGCATGTCCAAACTCAGGCCCAGGGGCCATTTGCAGCCCTCAGTGTCATTTATTGTGGCCCTCTGCCTTGCTAGCCCACAGCAGTCTTTGAGATCATAAACACAAGTTCACTGTGTCATCCATCCAACTTCAGCTCAGCCAACATAGACATGTCATAACTCATACTAAAGCCCAGTACGTCTGGAATTCAGTTGTTGTGAGACTTGTGAGATGGTGACACGGTAAACATTTGTCAATCAGCCAACTTCAGCTCCGTTATAGATCATTTTAAAACTCTGAACAGCCCGATGCCAGTCAAGACAGTTTTTCAGTCTGTGACGTCGACCCCTGGACTAGTCTGGTGAACTAAAGTGGCCCTCTTACTAAAATGTTTGGACACCCCTGATGTAATCGAATACAACACTCACAATCATGCTGCTTTAGTTTTGCATTTACACTGTGACCCTTCTGTCCAGGCATTAGACCAGATTGTGCCAACTGAATAACACACCCAGTCCTATCACCCATAAGGGCTATTCTAGGAGGCCACACTGGCAGCTGTAACATTTGCTTAATCTGTTTAGCATCTGCACATCCAGGTTAGCAGCAGCAGCAAACAAATATTGACATCATGGGCGTGTGTGCACTTGCTAGGACAGGGCTACGGAACAAGCGTGTTCATTGTAAATTATCGTCTTATTCTGACAAAAAAATGTGCATCATGTGGTGTAAGCAACGTTTCAAATGTGTTATATGTGACCAGACATGTAACATTGACAAAGAATAGCTGTAACCCGTGTTAAATACTAGCGTGCTATTGTAAACATTGAGATGCTAGCGCGTTGTAGCATTAGCCGCAGCACATGTCAACATTATACAGCAATCGTTTTGTGTCCTTATTTCCATACCCATTTCTGTTTTTATTGTCCTGTCTTTTTGGCCGTCTGACAGGCTGCAGAGGAATGCTGTCGGCCATTCTCCTGGCATCGAGGGAGGCCGCGGTGACAGTCCGACAAAGAGGCGTCTCTGGGCGGGGTTCGCTGCTCCACTGACGGAGGCTGCGCACAGACGGCACATGTCACTGGGAAACAATAAGACTGCTCATGTTCTTTAACACTTCTCATTTACTCTGTCTTTGTCGTTACCAAATTAGGAAAACGCTTCACATTCTTTATGAGAGAGGGTTCACCATTTGCATGTGTGCAGTGCAGTTATAGATTGTAAAAAATGCACTGCAATATTGTAGACCCACTTCTCACAGAACTCCAAAGATACTTGTATTGAAAGTTACGTACCTACCTGTTCCTGTGTCTACTGTGAAAAAATACAAAGACGTTTGGTGGCCCACATCCAAGACAAAAATTACATGACATTTGAAGTAACTTATTATTTGAAAGGACCACCAAACCAATTCAAGATCACCCTGCATCTTGATCCTAAAAATGTGCAAGATGGTCAGGGGGTTCTCCAGCAGGAAAAGCAAAATATCGGACAGCAGACAATTATCTGTAATAATACATCCAAAATCAACAGTAACATCTACCCAGGCACATAAATACCTGAACATTAGTTCGACTTATATTTGACACACAGTATGAACTATTGATATGAACAATAAGAATACAAATAATTGATCCAAAAATACATGAATACATAACATTGTTATTTATCCACTTGGACTGGAAGCATAGCTCTACTTTGGTCTGGTTTTGCTAAAGACATGTCTCTTAGTGTCCAAGCCCATATTGCTTAAGGTAAGTAACTCAAATGAGAATCCTGCTTGAATTGCTCATGTTTTGCATGCAAATGTCATTGTCAATGCAAAAAAGCTAGATTAGTGTAGCCAGGTGTATCTCAAGATCACACAAAATGTATTTTGATTTGGGTGACTTGAAGGTGAATACATGTAAATCAAGTGTTGTGCTTGCACGTAATTGATTTATCAGTCAGGTACAACATGACTATCATTAAGTCAAATGAGCATTTCGTTCTGAAAACAGTGAATCCCAATTTACGTTAAAGCTCCATGTAATACAATGTTCTTTCATGCTTTTAACTCCAAACATGGGTTCTTGCTGTAAGTGGGGTTGCCTCTCCACAAACTTGACTCATACCCTTTAAAAAGTCAGTTTTTCCTTTGCCATCATTTACCTAAAGAGACCCTGTGAATGCTGAGTGTCTGAGCTGCATCTCAACTCATACCATCTGTGCAGTGTTATGCATTTTATTACTGTATATTATGTATGCTTTCTTCCAAATTGTAATGCATGAATGAGTAAGAGATTATAATAATTATGCAAAAGACAGACCTCATTCAACAAATATATTTGGTTTTAGATAAATGTCATTCTTGAACACTAAAATTGCGTTAGTACTCCAAACACTTCAACTTTTACAGTAGGATGAAACTCAACACTGACACACATTGAAAAAGTCACTGATTTTATTTCTCAAAAATCAGAATTATAAAGAAAACATTTGAGAGGCGTAATGTGGGAAAAAAAACATAACATTTTTTTTTAAACAATGTAAACAGGCCGAACGTGGCACAACATTTCTTGAATTGTAGAGACAACTTGGAAAGCAGTTTGACATGACTCGCTACAAAAGGCACAACATGGCAAATGCATAATATTGTTCAGGAATGTATAGCAAGTCTTACACGTATTCACCGCTGAGAAAAGTGTCCCGTGTTACAATCATTAGTGTTCAACTCAGCAGGTAAGAGGTTGATAATCCATCGCTTTTCCAACAAAAACGCATTTGAAGCTGCAAAAAACAGTGCAGTGATAGAAATGGGGAGGTGGAGACTAAGGAAATGAGGTAGAACTAGCCCCTACACTCAATGCGTTCCATAAATAAATTAACGCTACGAAGAAGAAAAGAATCCTGATGTCACCGAAGTGATGCGAAACATGAGTATGTAACTAAAAACCTGTGATAAAGTGCAGGCGTAGAAGAACTGTAATCAATAGCCTTCCAATTCTGACAGACATTTGCTATTTAAAAAAAACAAGAAAAAAAAAAAACCCCAAAGACAATCAGGAATATAAATGAAACTCAAATAAATAACATAGCTGCGATTGTGGTTTCAGTATTGTAAATTTTGACCAGATAGGCACTTGAAAATAAGTACGGCACCCTAGTCCATCCATGAAACCGCACAATTTTATTATAAACAACTATAATGACGCAGATAAGGCAGATTTAATATAATTGAAACAAAATAAACTTGAAAAGGTTTCAGGAAAAATATAACGGTGGCATGGAGTACAAGTAGTCACATGTGTGGAAAAACAGTTAACTGCATTCATTCTCAAATGCGCAAGTTTTTAAAAGTATCCCTAAAAACCATGCATTAGTCAAGTTCCTTCAAAGTAGTAGGGAGACAGTATGCATTAAAGTAGTTTCAAGTAGGTTTCTACATTCAAACTTGTATAAAAACAATAAATTCAAAAAGAAAATACCCGCATGTGTAAAATATGTATACAAAATAAAACAGTAGTAATATCAAGTAAAATGCTTGATATTGTTACTCAGATCAGCAAGAGCCTATTTTTTTTCTTTCATCTTAAGACATGGAAAAGTTTAAAACTGCACAAAAATATACAATATTTTCTATGCGATTGTACCTCATTTGCTAAAGAGACATTCAATGAACGGCCCAGGTTGCACACTGCAAAAGTATCCATTACTTGAATATAAAATAATTAGTTGAGACTGGATGCATGTGCTCATCATATCTTTGTAAATAAACAGCCTGCCTGAAGAAATATTAAGTTTGAAAATGGCAACAACTACAAAATGCTAAAATCCTATTTCAATGATAGGTCACTGTAGGAGGCCTGATAAAGTTGAATATAGTTGTCAAATGCTCATTCAGGTAAAACAAGGTGTCTTACAACTACTCAAAATCAGCACTACAAACGTTCTCTAGGTTGGCATAATCCCATTTTGCCAATTTTAATAGATAAGAGTAGGGCAGTAGCCTAGACAAAACTGAGTTTTTTTTTGTACCTTAAAGGTTTTTCCACTGGTAGATCTGCTCATAAAAGAGTAATCTTTGACATATTTTGCTGTGAGTATCATGAACATGACAAGACATTCATTTGTGCTTTAGTTCACTGCAATTTTCCCCTCCTCCATGAAATGCGAGAATTGTTGTTTTGGCATTACGTCTGATCCATTCTTCTCTAGGTCTGCTATGCCTCCAGTTGACCCGATCAGAGGCACCCTCGCTGGGCTGCCTGGGATCGGAATGCCTCCTCCCTGGATGACAGAAATCTCGTTGGCCTTCATGGTCAGACCCCCGCTAAAGGCAGCTGCATACTGGTTCCAGAGGGAAGGATCGAAGTTGAGGTGGGGTGGAGGTGGAGTGGCCAGATCCTTAGGGGTGGGGAGCATTTTGGGCTCGGTGGTCATCGCCATTAGAGCCATGGGGTTTTCCAGAGACAGACGCTGGCCACGGCGAGAGGTGTTGTTCCACATGTGTGTTCCAATGTGAACCTAAACAAAAAGAATTGTAATCCAGTGCAAATATCAATTTCAGCTGTTGCTACTGCCCTTTCACCAATTCTACCCTTTTCGTCTGAATTCTGATTGCCACTTTTTTTTTATGTACATAATATATCCTGCATTTAACATGTTTGCACATTTCCTCCCTTTTTTGTACAGAGTGTTTCTATCCATGCCAAATGTGACATGTAAATTTCTCCTTGTGAGATAAAGAATATCTTATCTGAATATCGGCAAAGTGGAAGCCAAAAGGGGCTTGATGTTGAGCACCACTGCACCCTTTGCTCATGACACCTGGACCGTCACCATTGATTGGACTTTGAGCAAGTTTCTCATGAGAAGTTCTCATTTATTGTACATGTGAAGTACTCAAAACTATTATTGTAAAAGTGCCCTTTTGAATAAACAGACAATGTGTTTACTCTTCTAGAAGAACTAGTCCATCAGGATGGGTGACAAAAGTCAATTTACATTACTTAATTTTCTTGGACTGGAATGCATTATTCTGTCAGCATTCAGAGTTACGCATAGACACTGTAGATTAGTTTGATAGAACTCAGATAAGCCTCCAGGCAAAATTGTTCATCCTTACATATACCATTCGGCCAAAACAATAATAATCAACCAGGCTATATATATGAAAGCCACTATTCACAGGTCTTACCTTGAGGTTTCCCTTGGTGGTGAAGGCTCGTCCGCAGATGTGACACGCAAACGGCTTCTCCCCAGTGTGGGTGCGTTCGTGGATCTGCAGGGCGCTGGCTGAGGAGAAGTTCTTGCCACATGCGTTACACAGATGCTGCTTGCTCTGTCGCCTCGGGACCGCTGCCATTGTAGAGGCCATGGATGTTCCCTGCGGCATGTGGGAGCTGAACAGGCCGTGTGCACCAAGAGGGTTTTCAGGCGGAAGTTTCATCTCTAGACTGGTCAGACTGGGAGGTATTCTCATAAAGGACATGCTGCTTTGACCTGTGGAAAATAACTTTCATTAGATATGGGTTACATTAGAATTTAATGAACACATTATGAAATATTCAAAAGTTAATAGTTGAACACACCTATTTTAAAAAAAAGGATATCTTGTGCCTTTATCCTTCATTTATTGGTTTCAGCTTCCAGTTATATGAAACAAATGTTTAGACTTCTTTCTCATACAAAGACGTTTCAATTTTGTATTCATATGATATTTGGTTCCAACTTTATCTAAACCCAATGGATGGATATAGAAGACACATTAAAGTCATTCTGACTATTACAAAAAATATTTTGAAAATTAGGGAATAAAAAGGTGTATTCTGCACATCCTGCCCTCTTTAACAAGATCTGGTCCTTAAAAATTATACAAATGTATTTGCAAGAAAAACAGAAAATATTTAAACTCATTCATAATTTTATTCAATAGAAATGTAATTAAAACATACTGTAGTCTCCATTTGTGAAAGGGGTGATGGGCTCTTCTTTGATTGATTTGGGGGTGAAACTTGTGGAGGAAGTGAGGTCGAGAGCTCCAGTCGTCTCATTTCCTTCATGGACCCCAGGATCAGACTCTGGCTTAGATGCGCTGCTGTTGAACTCTGAGCTGGGAGACTTCCCATTCACCAGGCCTGGGTTCACCGGAGATGTCGACATGGCGGCGTCTGAAATGTTGGGGCTGCAGCCGGTTTGATACTCCGCCTCTCTGGGAGCAGATGGAGACTCCTTGGGTGTCAGCTCACTTTCAGACGTTGTGCTTGTTTGGCGCTTCAAGGAGAGTGCTGAGGTGAGGTTTTTGAGCACATCTAAACTGGAGAAAGCACTGGGAGCAGGCAGGTTCTCTTCTGAAGCTGGAGTAATGGGCACAGATGATTCATGTGGCTTCTCATTGATTAGCTCTGCCTCTTGATGGTCCTCCATTGTGGTCTCAAATCCACTCGTGTCCATAGACTTCTCATCTGGGAGGGAAGAGTCCATGGCCTCAGCAGCTTCAAATTGATTTTCTATAACTGGTGTGTTTGGGATCTGTCCACCCATGTGCATGCGGATGTGCTGCTGCAAGACCACCGCATTGGTGAATTTCTTTTGACAAATGGGACAGGAGTGTTGCATTTTTAGCGGTGTGTTTGCACGGTGCACTCCATAATGAGCCTTGAGGTTTCCCTTTGTGGAAAAGGCCCGGCCACATATTTTGCACTTGTGAGGCCTCTCGCCAGTGTGTGTGCGATAATGCATCTTCAGAGAGCTCTGGCAGCTGAGGACACGATGACAGATCAGACACTCATTTGGATCGTTTGTCCTCTTCTCCAACCCGTCCACCATCTGCTGTAGTTTCGCTGTTCCAGAACTTTCTGCAGGATGCCCATTGCCGTTCATGGAGTGCAGCTCCCCCAGAACGTCTTTGGAGTCTTTGTGCATCTGGTCCAACCCAGAGTCAGGGAAAACAGAGGGGGATCCTTCGCTGGTGGATGGGGACGGCCTTTGTGAAAAGCCCTCAGAGCCAATAAAAGTAGGCAGACCAGAGGGCAACTTTATGTCACACAGGTTTGATTCATCCAGAGGCACAGACATGCCGAAGGGGATGCCACTGCTGGTGGGCACATTGTCCAGGTGCTCAGGCACAGGGTGGGGGTTCATGGCGATGTTCGGGTACTTGTCCTTGTGCCTCTGGAAATGCACTTTGAGGTTTCCTTTGGTGGTGAAGCGGTTCCCACAGATGTTGCACTTGAAAGGCCGCTCTCCAGTGTGCGAGCGCAGATGGATTTGCAGCGCGCTGTCGTTGCCGAAGGTTTTTCCACAATATTTACACTTGTGCTTGTATAGGGGGTCACTGGGCTTTGGTTCTGTGGGCAGACTGAGCAGTTTGGCCTTTGCCTTTTTAGCAGCATCAGCTCCATTGAAGGTAGTGGAGAAGCTCATAACAGGTGACTGGGGCAGTAAAGGTGGTAGTCGGCCAGCCAAATCTGGAAAGCTCTTTAAAACATCCATCTTACCCAGAGCTGAGGTAGGAGCACTGTTGGACACAGGTAGTTTGGCTGGTTTGGTTTCAACTGGTAGCGCCTGGATACCTGTTCTCTTCCCGATTAGAGCAGCTGCTGCAGAGAGCTGCTGAGACAGATGCGCTCCCAGGGCCTTCAGAGGGTCCACAGCCCCAGGCGCCAGGCCTTGAGGGGTCATCATGGCGATCTGGATCCGAATCTGTTCTGTAAGCTGAATCTGCTGCAGCTGCTGCTGCTGCAGAACTACAAGCTGCTCCAGGAGCAAAGGGACGATCTGAGCGGAGTCCTGGGCACAGCTGTTTGACACCTGGGACACAGCCACTTTAGTGTCAGCCAAAGCCTCCAGCGTCACATTAGAGTCCTGAGGTGATGAGAAGCCCAGGTCTGACATGTCTGTATGAGCAGTGTCCTCTGCAGAGCCCTCCTCGTCTGCCCTTTCTGCAGCTTCAGGGGCTGTGGTAACAGAGGGGCTCGACTGAATGTCCTCTGGCTCGCTCACGTCAGGAGACCCCTGCGAGAAGTCATCAGGCACAGAGCCGCCACTCTCCTTCATAATCAACACCTGCTGATTTTTTGTGCAATTCTTCTCATGCTCCAAAAACTCTGCTTCATCGAAGAACTCTGCACAGCAGCCATTGCACACCCGTGTCTCATCCATCCGGAATCTCTTCATCTCAGTCCCAGGCTCCTCGCCCTCTGGAATGCCTGAAAGAACAAGACAAAGATTACAGCATTTAAAGTTATCAAAAGAACAAAAATAGGATAGCTGTGTGTTTACAATGTCTTATGACAGACGTGCATCAATCCCCCATTATTTGACCAAGGTCAGCAGAGGGCGCTAGTTTACTTTAAGCCATCAAAACGCAGGCACAACGCGCATCTCTCTCGGACTTTGACAAGTATATACTTTATTCCAATTAAGCCTATACTTCAACAATTTCCAGTTGCCTACACCTAGAGAAATGGACCAAAACCACGTATGCAGCAGAGATGCAAATGCTTAGTCAACAACAATGAACCTGCTATAGGTCAAATGTCCAAACCTCGCATTTTAATGTGGACCTCTGGTTTGAGGCTACAGACAGCAAGAGCACCACAGGTATGGTAATAATTTTCAAACGAAAGGCTGGGTGAAGGTGCCAAACGGGTTTTACATTTATATGAAGGAACTATTTGACTTGTTAATCTCTAGACAAAGGAACAATAAAGCTGCTCAGATTTCTGAAAAGACTTGCTTGGATTGGTTAAAAAAAAAACAAAAAAAAAACACTATTGCCATACGTAAACATTTGATTAGATCTGAATTAGTTCCAGCAGAAGGTTTAACAGCACTTTTTGTTTTGTTGCAGTTTGAAATGAATGAAAGCTGAAGCCATCTTTACGCACGGCGCTGGTTTGCCACTTGGAGGCGCATGAATGACCCGATCACCTTTAGTAAACTACATGACACGAGGTCAGGCGAAAATTGATTTGTGGGAGCGCTAACCCTTTGAGAAAAAAGTTAAAATAAGAAAAAAGGGTGGATTACTGTTAAGTGCTCAGTCATATACGATCATCCTTTTTCTTCCAAAAAAGGTGAGCGCTACATGGATTTTATGGCCGGAGCAAAACTCACCCCCACCCAGAGCCCTCCACAAAAAGATCTCCATCCCCCACTGCTCCATATGTACGAAAGGAAACAGTCATGCATTAAACTCGGGGAATTTATTGCCTTCAGGTCAGCGCACTGCAGAGTCACATTTCATACAATTTTGTGCACCTTTGTTTCGAACCAACCACTCAATGTACACTTTTCACACTTCAGCCAAACTCCACAACCAAAATCACACAGCGAGTTACAGTACAAGTTGATAAGAGTAAAATATAATCCAATAATCAAAGACGTAAAGGTCACAAACTAATCAACTCTTTCCACAAAAAAGCAACCAATCACAGTTCAAAAGTCCTCTGGTGAAGATGGAGATTTAAAAATGATTTTAATAAAAAAAAATATATATATATATACAACTTACACAGGTTGTAAGATGGGCTGCTTCAATACGTGTATTAATTCAACATTAACTTAGTCGTTTTTTTAGTTTATAGTTTATACTTGCTCCTCGAAATGTGTTTAAGTACATTAGCCGGTTATTTCTACAGTTTTTTTTTAAATAAACATACAACCAATCTTTGTATCTAGTCTACAATCCTACTCCGGTCAAAACGTTCAAATAAAGCCTACAGAGTTGTTCGTCCACTGACTAGAAACAAGTTTATTCCAACTAAGTTTAGCCAGCTCCCTGTGCTGCGCGCACCTGCATTGTGCCAAAATGTATCGGTTTCCTCAGTTTCCTCAACATCAGAAGTCTTTGTACCTCACGCACGACACGAGCAACAGGTCAAAGAGTGAGAGCGACCAGGACCCTCAGAGCGCGTTGGCCAAATAAAACATGCCGCTTCCCCGGTGGAAATCCACAGGTTTGATGGGACCTCGGCCCGTGTAAAGTTCAACTCACCATTCAGCGCGGAGTCCGGCTCGTCTGAGTTTATGTGCTGCGGTTTCGACTGCTTACGTCTCGACATGGTGCAACCATCAGGAGCAAAGAGTGGCACACTAATTTCCTCCTCTTCTTCAACTAATTCTTCGGCTCTGAAAGGTAGCTCCTCCAGTAGAAATGCGCATGTCAGCGTAATTATTATTATCAATAATGCATTGCGATTTATCACGGGGCTCTGACAGCTGATTGGCTCCAGTCCAAGCCCTCACACATTATTCAAATGTCTCCTATTGATGAGAGGCGGGCGCTGCGCTGCCACTGGTCAGTGTGCGCCAAAGGGACGTCCCCTGCACAGGAGAGGGCGAGGGTTTGACCAGCCTATCCCAGCCCGGCCGGGGCCAAAACCTCCTGCTCCTAAAAATGGAGCAGCTCCATCAGATTACACAACAAACAAATACGGCATTTTAAGACCACAATAGGGAATATTTATATATTCTTAATTCATCATAAGGCCAATTCAATGGACACTTAATTTGCAATAAATGTAATACAAATAGCCACAATACCTGACAAACATTTTAGATAAAAGTTTCACTCCCAGTAAACTACCAACTATACCTTTATTGTCCCTTCTTACTGAACTTTCTACAGATGTCCGATAGGCTCCTGAGTATCACTATACTGTGACCTTCTATTGGGCCTCGTATTATTTATTAGTTAAGACAAAAGCGCCTTATTCCATCTTATATGTCACACTGTTGATTGAAGTTTCTGATGTATGAGAACATATTTATTGCATGCTCCCTTTTGAAGCAGTAGACAATATGGAATGTGACATAACAAGAAAATACAAGCTTCAATTATACATGAGGCCAAAGGGTCAAAAGGCCAAATATGTGAAAGTTGTTGGATTCGAATAGGTACTATAGGTCTAAGTCCTACTGACAACACACTGTAGTTCTTGTGCATGCAACTCCACCAATTTGCCTCATTTGAACCATATAAAATATATGACAACATGATATAAGCTACATACACTTTAATACATATTTCCAGACACAAGGTTAACATGTATGAATCTGTTCAAGATTATGATGTTGATTTATTCTCATGAATAAATAAAAAATAAAATAAAAACAATGGCCCTGATAAGTTCTCAAGATCATTATTCAGTCTACATGCAGAATGAGCCTAGCATGCGCAGCCTGGGCAGCAGCAGCCGTTGGAACCCGGAAATATACTTGTATTCGTTTATTTGGTTGGGTCAGTGTATATTGATGAACAGCAGTGTTGTAAGTACACTGGATTGCAGCCATGGTTTAATTTCCACAGTCGCAATCGCAGACACGCTCTCATTTACCCTAAACTATTGTACATGTTTTTAGTGGTGAGGGACACCAGAGCACCTGGAGGAAGCCTACACAGAAAGGCGGGAATGGAACCCATCTCCTTGCTGTGAAGCATGAGTGTTAAACGCTGCAGTGTAGACCTTTTTATTAATAGATCAATGTATACGACTTTCTAAAACCGGTTGTAGCTGCAAGATCTCATCCACAGCTGTCTTTGCATCCGCTGCCATCAGAAATGTCTCGGATTGAATTGTGTTTTTCTCTGTTCCTTGTACCTCTCTGATGAATGATGAATCTTGACATATGTAAACTTGACATCTACAACTGCTAGAGCAATTTTGTTTTGAACAGTTTAGGCTGTGACAAGAGAGTCAAAGTTTCCATTCTGAAAAAAAAGCAAAAAAACAGATTTCATATTAGTGCAATTTTACCTCCAAAAACGTTGTTGTTATTTATACAATAAAGAAAAATATATTACGTTGTTCACCCAGATTGGTGTGCTGTCTTTCTTCAAATATGACGTGCACAACGCTGACAATTGCTGCACAGCATGTAAAAGTGTGTTGTGGTGGTGGTCAAAGCTTGCAGGAGCAATGGCAGCTGAGAAAATGGAAAAGAACTCAAACATGCAAGACTCAAAACAGCCTTGAGTGATCAACAAGAGACTATAACCATGAAAAGTCTATTTGCAATTTGCATTTATGGGATAGTCTACAATCTGCATCACCAGTCACAGCAGCCTTTACAGAAATATGTAAAAACACCCAGCAAAACCACCTGAATCTAGTGATTGAACTCAATTGAACTCAAATTAATCAATCCCTAAATATATCAGTCAATATATTGTTTATTGTATCAACACACTTTTGGAAAATGTAATCACTCCATCTTGTTTACTTTGAGCATTTGCTTTTCACACATTCTCAACTGCAGCTGGGCTCGCCATTCAATTTCCACAGTGCAATTGAACACTCTATGTTTCCTGACTTTGTCAAACAAAACCAAACAAAACAATGAAACATGCGGCAGGACCGTGTATTAATGGGAATGACTGAAATGAGTGATTCGCCTGTATGTGTCCAAATATATACATATCTATAATATGAACATGGCTGTTCCCTGTGTGTCTCAATGCGGGTGCTGTCCCTGTCTCAATAGAATCCACTTCACCTCAATTTCTAGGTTCACATGCATCTTGCTCAATCAAATTAGATAAGACTAGGCAAGTTATCCAGTGTTCACTTTGTAAACATACTACATATGGTATACCTGCAACTGTTTTATTCATATCTTGTTTCTGTGCAGCACTTTGGGAACTGTTTGTTTTTAAATGTACTATATAAATAGTTTGGATTGGATTTTAAACATTGTAAACAGTTCCTTCAACTTGATGTCCATTGAATTAACATTATCCAAGTTTGATGCATTATTATAATAGAATCTGCCGAATCCTCACAAGAAGATGCTCGTAACAATGCATTTACTTTCTTGCAATATGTTATCTCATTCTTTTCATGTTGCATTAACTTCTTAAGGCCACAAACAAACTGACTCACATGTGTTGTCCAAGCTGCATTGTCCATGTGCCCCGACTACCAAGGCCAAGCAACACAAAGCTGTTTTTTTTTTTTTTCAATAACGTCTCGTCTTTCACACAAACCGTTTCACTTGGGCAGGAGATGGATGGATCGTCAACTAACTCGTCAAGAAATCGGAAAAGGGTCAAGACGGAGGCATGAAAATAAATACATGAAAACGTTGCCCATTTTTCAGACTACTTGGCTTGCCTCCATTGTTGTATCCATGACCCTTTGAAGGCCGATGCATTGTGTCAGCTCTGGCTTTTTAAAAAGGTTTCTATGGCATCAATCAGAGCAATAAGTTATCAGGCAGCAGACAATTATCCACGGAGAGACAGCACATGTCAAGGATGCATCAATGGCGACCCGTGCAGGGAATATTGACTTTCTGCTAATATTTCATAGATTCAATTTACTCTTTGTAATTTTTCTACAACTACTAGTGCTGCTTATATCTGCAACAGTAAATAATGTAAAATGTACTATAAAATGAGCAGGCTTTTCTCATCCCTTCTGCAGCTCTATCAATGTTGTGTATATCGGTTACATGTATCTGTGTATCTATCTATCTATCTATTACAGAAACATACATAGATCAGTTTCATGGTTTTCAAGTGTATTTCCTTTTTTATGTAGTCATAAAAAACTCCATTCTATTTAGCAATTAAAGTAAAAGACCCATCGCTGCTGCAACTATTTCAGTCATCCCCATCAAATGCATTCATATACTCTTAGATAAACCAATTTCTGTACTCATGACCCAAAAAATATCCTGTTGAGCAAGATAAACTTATTTTGATAGATAGATACACACAGTCCAGACATTTTGAGAATATTAGAAATGTCTTCTTTACATAGGCTCACTTTTACCTTTGATAAAAGTGGAAGCTTCCCGTCAAAGCATGTCAGGTATTTAAGATTATGTACAGTATTTTCTAACAAGAACATTTCTGCTGAGGATGCCGCAAATAGAGGGCGCACCACCAGGTATATTGAAGCCGAGTTTCTGATCTTAAATTGACAAATGTAGTTCAATAATACAGCAAAATTACAGTACTATACATTAAGAATACATTTCAAACCTGTGTTACCATAATTAACTGTAACTAAGTGGGGCAATCATTCTGCATTGAAGTCCGTTTTGACATTGGAATAACTTTATAGCTCTGTGGTTTGAATCTGTTTGGAATTTATCTAATTATTTATGAATCTAGCCATCGGGTGGTCATCTGTAAAGGTGTTTCAAATGAATTAAAGGTGTTTAACCTACTGTCACCATTGGAGGAAGTGGTGAGAAAGTGATGAATAAACTTAGGTTCACTAATCGGACGATCTCATCCTCTTCAGCCATGCAGACTCCAGCCTCCTGACTCATTGGTTATTTCCATTTGGTTTCCCAGAAGTGTATTTTTACGGCTGTACGCAGTTTGAATGTAGGAGTGAACAGAGTATTCAAGCTCAGATTCTTATTGGGGGTCATAAAGCGTCTAGACAGGCAACACTCCCCTCTTTTCACCTTCAGCCCAGCCCCATAAAAAGCATTTGTTTATCTCAATACAATGGCAAAAGGGTGTGAGGGGCTAATGAGAACAAGTACTGAATGGGTAGAAGTTTGACATTATGAATGAACTTATATCTGAGTGGAGGTGCTTCTTACACGGTTAGATTTGCCATCAACTGGTTCTTCTCGGGGTCGTCTTTTGAATTTATGGTAACTTCTTCTGGTCTATTATGGATTCTTTGTCATGGCAGATGCTGAGATAAGCGTCCATGTTTTGTCTCGTATAAAACCATGTGCACACAGCAAAACTCTGTTCGGGTCGTTTACCAACAATAAAATGTGTGATCCCAGAGCTGTGCATCTTTTGTCATTTTCTTTGATATTTAATGTAGCTGCAATTTGCCATTCACTTCACTCACTGTGATGATGCCAAACACCCCTTGTTCCGACCGAGACTCAAACCACAGACTGTGGAGGGTGATTGTTAACCACTCAGCTACGTGCCCAAAGTGTTTGGATGAGTGAATTCACTTGTTTTTGATGGAGATTCAGTGATAAATACAGTAACTCCTCTATAACTATTACTTTACTACTTGTTTGAACTGTTTTTCAAATCCACATTTAAAATGGCTTACATTCACAAATCAAATAAACA